ATGCTTTGCCTTGGCTCAGCTTTAATCCTGCAGACCAGGAAGGGCCGGTGCTCCGCCACCCACCCACCTCGCCTTTCTGAGCACGGCTTTCCACCCTCGGTTGAACCGGGATCTCTGGTTAGAGGGATTGCAGGGATCCCTCGCTGCCTCAAGATGAGCTGGAGAGGGTCTGACATCCTCCCCATCCCCCTCCCCGCAACCTTCTTGATCGCTGGCAGTGGGTTGGGACCCAGATGATGAGGGGCTGTTTGTGCCGTTGCTGATTAGCAGTTCTGATGGCGAGATACGGCCAGCTTGCTCCGGCTGACAGGATGTCCTCTCTTCCCTTTTTTTTAATCTGCTGTTGAAGAAAAGAAACAGAGCAGCCGCATCGCTCACTGGAACCGGAGTCTGACTTCTTGTAAATGGCCTCAGTCATAACAAGATTACTAACATCAGAGGTTTCAACAAGCAAAGGAAACTCAACTTCAGCAAGAGATGTGAAGTGGCAGCTGAGACCTCCCCTAAGGCAGAGGTGGGGCAGCTGCTGGTTGTAAATTCACCTTTCACTCCTGCCCCCCCGCCCCCCTTTCCTTCCCTACCCTGGGCCTGCAAGACAGACAGCTTTACCTGTTGAATCCTCCCCCCCAAAGAACGGCCTTGGACAGACACACAGAAACCTCCTGAGAGTCAGAGAGGGTTCTCCAGGTGTCCTGGTCCCACAGTGCGGATCCCAGCCCTGTTTCAGAGGGTGCTGCAGTTTGGCTGGTTGTGAAGCACTTCCTGGGAACCCTCTGCAGCCTCTCTGGGTGTTTCTTAGGTGAGGACTTGGATCCTTTAATCTAATTTTACATGGAACCCAGAAAGTGCTAAACATGCCTTGCTGGGCTAGGCGGGGAAAAGAGAACCCCAGGAAGCCCCGACATTTTCCCAATATCTGCCGCTCTGAAATGCGTATGGCATTTCCAGGATGGTGCGGTTCAGCCATGGTGGGATACACACACACACACACACAGTCGCAACAGACACATCCCTGGGGAGGCTTAGCCGCCATGGGGCGCCAGGCTCTTCCTTGGAGGTCCTGCTTCTCTCTAACGGCCATGGCTGTGTCTCTTGGGCTGCAAACGAAGGTGAGCCGTCATTGTGGGAAGTTCACTCCTTGCAATTGTGCTAATGTGCTGTACTTGGAGGAAGGTAGCAGAGCCATTCTGTATGTTTGCCAGGAAGGAAGTGGCTTCTTTTAATCACCAAGATCAGAATATGCTTGAGCCTCTCTTGTTATTGTCTACCAAGTAAGCTGAGAAGAAGCAGCTGCTCCAGCTGTGAACTGTGTAACACGAGGGGCCTCTCCCAGGTGCTGCCAACCCAGGCCTCGCCTTAGCAGGAGGGCAGGTGTTGGCAGAGGTGCCTCAGTTTTGCTGAGGGGCACAATCAAAGGTGTGTCATAGATGTGCCAACAGTGGGTGGCAATGCAGTCTCCCCAGGACCTCCTAGGGCCTCAGGAAGCTCTGCCTCCAAGGCCTGTCCTGGGGTTGGCAGGCAGGCAGGCAGGCAGGGAAGAGGGCGGCGGTGCCCAAAGAGCCAAAAGTGGCACTGATGGTGTCTTAGTTCCACATCATGTTTTGCATTATTCCTGCTTGCTGCTTTTCAAACCCCATCCCCCTTGAAAGACTGAGGCAATTTATAAACATGCGACCCTTTGGAAAATGCGACTCAGACCCCGCCACGCCCTTTCTTCCAGGAGGGCAGCTGCGGTGGCCAGGAAACACCATTTGGCTCTTGGGAAACTGTGGGTCCTCTTGAGGACTGGAAAATGGCCCCCTCTGGTTATTTGTGGTGAAGGAGCAGAGAGTGTGGGGCAGGCCCTAGAAAGCAAGCATCTTCCTGGCTCCTTTCTCTCCAGCATTCCTTTGGGTTGGGAAGAATCAAAATCCTGGTTAAATCAGGATTGGTTTCAGGTTGATTGACGATGCCTCGAGTTGATTAAGCAATGTAAACTCTGCTCTGAGACCAATCTGGCTTTTCTGGATAAACTGTGGCAGACCAATCAAGAACCTTTGCAAAGTCCCGCCTGAGCTCCATAAAAGCTGCCTCCTTTTCCTGTCCAGGCGTTGCTCAAATAAGGAAGCGGCCCAGCCTGGCCCTGCCCAGGACGAGGCCCCTGAGCCTCTGGGGCTAAATTCCTGGGAAGCCAGGAAGAACCGGGAGGCATTGGCTGCCTCGGTTCCAATGCGAGAGCAGACCCTGAAATGTATACACGACATCCAGGCTCTGACAGCGTCCGTGCTGGTGTCTTCTGGGTGTCCTTCCTGCCCCTCCCCCCAGCACCCTCCACCTTGTTGAGTGGCAGATTCAGAAAAGGAGCCCCACTTTTGGTCTCTGAGGCTTTTCTTACTTCTGGCTCTTCCTGGGAGGAGCAGAATCCAGTTGCAGAATCCTCAAGCCTGACTGGCTGGAAGTAGCCATTAATGGCGGTCCCCTGCTTATGCCGTGGGGGCAGGAGGGCCGCAGGGCACCAAGAGGGGAACGGTGCGGAGGCATCTCCCTGTGGGCTCGCCAACCCAGCGGGATGGTGCTTGGGCAGCCTTTGCTAAGGCTGTGAGGACAGCTCAGCGTCCCAGTTGACGGTTGACTTGCCTGCCTTTGCTTTCGGTTTCTGCAAGAGGAGGCGAGGGAACAGCACGTTCCTTCCTTCTTCCCTCCCTCCTTCCTTCCTTCCTTCTTCTATCACCTCACGTCAACCCTGGGTGGCTGCAGACGGGCTTGGCCAGGATCTTCTGGTGAAGTCCCCGGCTGAGCCAGGATTCAAACCTCCTCAACTGAGAGGAATCTAAGCGGGGAGGAGGGGGGGCGGAATCCAGCTGAGCAAGGATGGACAGACAGTCCCCTGCCTGAAGCAGATTTGGAGAATGACAACAGCACATCAGGGACTCCCAGGAAACCGAAGCCTTCTGAAAGAGACGGAGAAAGCTTTGCACTTTCTGCACGATGCACCAAAGCACAGCTGGGGTTTCTTTCTGTTTATTCCCCCCCCCCTTCTCTTCTTAAAAAACATTGTTTGGGGTAGAATTCCCTTTGTTGTTTGACGGAAAGGGAACCAAAGATGGCCTCCATTGTACAGTGAAAAGCCCCTGTTGATTCTGGTGAAACTGACCTTCTGTTACTGAGAAATTAAAGAGAACAGAATGAGAAACAAACAAAGAAAGAAAGAAAGAAAGAAAGAAAGAAAGAAAGAAAGAAAGAAAGAAAGAAAGTAAAAGAAAGAAAGAAAGAAAGAAAGAAAGCTGGTGAAAGTTAATGAAATGCACAGGGTTCCTTGGAAATGGCATGCATTGTTCAGAATGAGGGGAAATTACAGACGCTCCCATTTTTTCACAGTTCCATATAACAATTACCTCCTTATGGCTGCTCTATTATTAGATTTTACTCAACCTTTCCATGGAGTCAAGTGGATTTTTTTCTGGGGAAAAAGTTCTTAGAAGTTTGCTCTGCTTGTCAAGCAGTTTTGCTAGTTAAACAGATTCATGTATTTTGTTGTGCACAATTATTCCCTCCCCCTCCTCCAAATTACTTGGAAATAACAGCAAGGAAGGAAGTGGAGCTGAATGCACTGGGCACCGTCCAAGATTTAGCGGAGCACTGAAACCAATTAGGAGTTGGAGAAGGTGAGCAGAAGGATCTTCTCTCGGGAAGGGAAGCCATCCATCCTCTCCACTTCTGCCTTGGGTCCTGATCCTAACCCCAGGTCAGTCCTGGCTCCTGCTCTCCCACATCCCCCTGCCTTGCTCTTTGTCTTGAGCCTCCCAACAGCCACGTTGCCCTCAGAGCTGCAATGGGGCAGGGGGACCTCTTGGCTTATTTTACTTCTTCACCTTGTTAGGGCATTTGCTTTTCATCCTCCAACTGAAAGGAAACAATACTCAGGACTACCCATCTGTACTTAGAACTCATGTGGGCAGAACCAAAGCAGGAGGAGGAGGCCGGGATTGGCATGGATGGAGAAGCCACTCAAATAAAGCCCATGCTGGACCCAGCTGTGTGTGTGTGTGTGTGTGTGTAGAGGAGAAACATCCTCTCCCATGGATGCAGAAGGGGGGCATCAGTCTAGGTGGCTGATTCTTCCAGCCTAACCACCCACCCTCCAGGTCATGTGAAGCAGGGCAGCTCTGGGCTAAAGGAGGCAGAAAAGCAGCTTTGTGGCATTTTTGTTTCTGCTTTGGCAGAGACCCAGAGAACACCCACCCACCCTGGGGCTGATTTTCTACACAGGAGCAGAGAGAAAACCCAGCTTTGCTCTACGTTGCCCCATGCTCTGCTGGCATCACTGGATGGGGCGGCCAAGGGAGAAAACTGAGTGGATCCCTCCTGCACAAAACCTGCATCCTGGCTCTGTCCAGGCTTTTAGAGCCCCTCTACGCCCCCTCCCCACCAAGCAACCCAATATCTCCGCCAGGCCCCCAAGCTGACTTTCCAGCCCAGGGGATGAGGTGGCTCTTTCCCCACCCACAACTAGGCTGCCCATCTGCACAGACACGCTTCCCCAGGCCGGGAGATGGGCTGGCACCATCCCTTCAGAACTCCTCTTGTGACCTGGAGTTGCTGGGGGAAGACGATCCTCGGGAGAGGAGCCTGGGAAGTACCCAGAAGCCTATGAGCAACGCAGAGCCCACTGCCCCCCCTCCCACCGAGCATGGAGGCTTTCCTGCAGGAGGGGCCCCCAGTGGGCAGGGCCCAAGTGAACCTTCAGGGGGGGGCCCTTGGCTGCCTTCTCCTGCCCCACCCCAGGAAAGATGGAGATGGCCCTGCCCAAGAGGGTGCTTTCTGGGCTCAGGGATTCCTGGCGGAGACCCCTTTGGGCCAGAGAGGGATCCAGTGTGAAGGCCAGGTGGGGAGTGTCAGCACTAGAGTAAATGAAGCTTGAAGTGCTGACAGGGAGTGGAGGGGGAACCATCCACCCTCTTTGCATTTTTTCCAACAGCAATTACTCCAAATCCCAGGACACAAAGACCAGAGAAGGCGTCTTTTTTTCCTTAGAAAAAGAACCTTTATAATAAGGTTTATTATTAACTTTTAGAAAAAATAGATATAAAGTAACAAAAATGTTTCTGCATAGCAGAAAATGACTGGCGAGGCTTCTGAGGGCCTCAGTTTGTGCAAACAGTTCAAGTGTGTAAACATTGGAAGTCAAGTGTTCGAATTCAGTGGAACTGCTACAGAATGGAGATGCGCTCATGTCGGTGCCTGGGCTTGTATAACAATCCAGCCAGGGGTCTCCTTCACATCTTCCCAGAGCGCCACAATGCCCAGCGCCACAGGGGGCCTCCGTGCCACCTGCGCTTTGCCACTGCAGGGACTCCGTTTCTCCCACAACTCCCAGGGCACAACTGGCTCCCTGGATTGCACACCCCCAAGGCGCCACTCCCAGCGCCGGGACCCCTCCTCCTCCTCCTCCTGGTCTCCGATGCATCCACGGGTGTAATGCTCCCCCCCCTCACAATTTAAAGGGGAAGGACTCCAGGTAAGCCTTCAGGACTGGGTTGAGCGGGATGCGTGGCAAATTCTCCCTCCCAAAAGTCGCCACAATGTTTTTGCGGCAGAGATCCTGCAGTGACCGCAGGCGCTCCTTGTGTAGTGGGGCCACCAGGACCTTCCGGGGCGAGTTGACGTAATGTTCCAGCAGTTTGAAGAGGCAGTCAAAGGCCTCTTTGCTGCCCTCCAGGCTGAAGTGACCGGCCTGGAAGAGGACCCGGACGCTGGTGGGCCCAGTGGCCGTCTTAACGCTAACGCTGAAGAAGCAATTCTTTTGCCGGCTGTCGCGGAGAAGGAAGGTCCCCACCAGCTCGTCCTTCAGTTTCTCGTGAGCAGCGCTGACCGACAGCGGACCCCAGTAGAAGCCGCACTCCTCCAGCAAGGTGATGGTGCGGACGATGATGCCAAAGTCCTCCTGTGAGCGGAAGGTGTGGAAGTGGGTGTCCCGCGGGGCTTGCACTGTGCCGTGGGGGGGCCGGACCTGCAGAGCGGCCCGGATGGGGGGCTGAAGCCGGCCTCTCAGCTCCGCTGCAATTCCATTCTCGGGCGTTACGCTGCTGTGTGCTACCATCCTACAACCGAGGCCCACTGGAGTTGCCTCCCATCGCGTGGGGGGCCAGGGGAGGGCTGCTGTGTTGGGGTTCGCCTGCGAATCAGAGAGAAACAAAAGAGGTCACTTAGGATCCACCCACAGCATGTCAAAGCAGCCTTGCTGGGACCACCAAGAGAAACATCCCTCACGGTGCCGGATCCGAACCTCTGCCAGGCAAAGCCAACTCTCGGCTGCTTTTGTCAGAAAATGAGGCACCCCAGACAAGGCCGCCTCTCTGCCCAGCCATGGTTTCCCCTCTCAGCCACAGAGGCCCATTGACAGGAACCGCCAGCTCAGCTTCACGCCTTTTCCATCAGATGCTCCAACCGCCAACCCTTCTCCGCCCGGCTTCTCTCCAGGAACAGAGGCAGAGTGGAAGACCAACCTCCACAGCAAGATATTTTCGGCCTCCCCCCCTCACCACAACGAGCTGCTGCGGCTACACTCCTCCCCATCTTTCTGGTTTTACTTTGAATGGTTACGAGAAGGAGGGAAGTCTCATCAGCCAGAATCTAAGCTCTCTAAGTGATGCATGGAACAAAAGAGGCCTTCCTGGCACAGGAACAGCCCCCCCACCGCCCTGTGCAGAACTGTCCAGGCAGATTTTGCCAGATCTCTTCTCTCCTTCTCTCTGGAAACCCAGTGGATAGGAAAGTCCACCCTAAGAGAGTACAAGAGTTTGCTCAGGCCTAAATCCCCCAAGGTGGATCCCAAAGAGTTCCTTTCCTCAGAATCAAGCCTTCTTTGTGACTTGTCTGCTTGCCAAATTCCTGAGTAATCTGAGCTCTCCCGCTCAAGCAGCCCCTCCTCCCCATCTTCAGGCAGACTTTCAGATCAGCCTCCAGGAAGAGGTGACCCTTTGAATGTTACTCAGCTGCTCTTCAAAAGGGGTGTTCCAGCTGGGGCAAGAGGAGGTCGAGGATTCAGGGCTCTTAAGGGGTGAGTGAGATGGGCAGCATGTAACGTGATCAATAAAAGAAGGAGCTCTCTCCTTCAGCAGACCTGAGAGGGCCAGAGAAGGGGAGAGTTGAGGGATGCGGGACTTCTGCCGGGGGTCCTGAGCTCTGGCTTCCTGCGCTTGTGCCTCTGTCCAGACCAGGAGAGCCGTAAAAGGCCCTACAGGTAGGCGGTCCCAGCAGCGCCCCCCCCCCCCCCCCGCTCCATTGGCCTGCCAACCAGAGCAGGCGCGCTGGAGGAGCCGCAACTTCAGGATAAGGACCACCTGGAGTTGCCCTCCTTGAACCAACCAAGGAGGCCGGGGGCGCCACTGAAGTGCCCAGGGGGATGCTCCGGGCAAGGCCGGCACAGGGCAAGCAAGAGCCACCAGCGGCTTGGCCGGAGAGAAGTCCCGCGCCGCCCGAAGCTGCCCCCGGCAGGCCAGCCCTTCGGGCGAGGCTGGCCGAGGCAACGCGACAGCGGTCACATCTGGCCGGCCCGTGGGGATGGCGAAAGGAGGCGCGGGGACGGGGCGGGAAAGGGTCCCTCCAGCGCGGGGGAGACAAAGCCGCCGCGTCGGGAGCGTCGGGAGCCGAGCCAGGACAAGGAGGGCGAGGCGAAGCCGCCCCTTCCAGTTGCTCGACCCCGCCGCGGGTCCCTGCTTCTCAGCCGGCCGCGGTGCGTCCCGAAAGGCCCGGCGACCCCTCCGAGGCTCTTACCGGGGGCGCCTGGGCGTCGGCGGGCTGCCTTCCCCGCCCGCAGCTGCGAGGCCGGCTGGGGGACGCGGCGGGGCCGCTCAAGGCCGGGCCTCGGCCGCCGCCGCCGCCGCCTTCTCTTCGCCGCCGCCGCCGCCGCAGCTCTCCGGCGAAAGGGACTCCTCGCCGCCGCGGCTCGCCGAGGCTGGGCCCCGCTGCCTGCGCGCGCTGCTTGGTCGGGGCGCCGCGGCCGCCGCAGCCGCATCGTCCGCGCCGGGACCGGCCGCTGGTGCTGCTCTGGGGCCGCTGCGGGAGCTGCTCTCGGCGCGGCGCCCAACGCCCGTCTGCTCGGCCGGCCCTCGCCGGGGGCTTTTGAAGGGCTGGCAGGCCCCGCCCCCCGGCACTTTCGCTTTCCCTCTTGGGCGGCGGCGGGGGGGCGCCTGGGCAGCTCTGGAGGCGCGGCGGCTCCAGGAAAGCGAGCGGCTGCGGGGAAAAGAAAGGGAAAGCGGGACTCTGGGCTGCTTGGCGCCCCCTCGCCGCCCCCCTCCTCTGCCTGCACAGTCGTCCCGCAGTTAAGGCGGGACGGGGACCCCCAGCACCCCCTCCTGGACCCCTCAGGCCCCGTGCCCGGAGGAGGCGCTGGAAGGGCCGATGGGAAGCGGTGGCCAATTCCTGGAAACTTGTACCTGGCAAGAGATGGCAGCGCGGGGCAGCCTTGCATCTTGGGCTTCCCTCAGCCCCCCTCTAGGATCAGGCGAAGCAGGGGGGCTGCGGGAGGGGAGGGAGCCTCCGAATGCTGGCAGCCGATGGGGCAAGCTAGATAAAAAGGGGGCAGCGGAAGACTGGCCAAACGCGGAGGGCCCCTGGCTCCCGCGACAATCGAGGCGGGCAGGCTGAGGGGGAGGTCGGTGGGCCCAGAGTGGCGGAGCCTCTCCAGAGAGGCGCTCTGGTGGTTCTTAGCGGCGCTGGTTTCTCCTCTCCCGGCCCACTTCTCAGAAAACACGTGGCCGGCAGTCAGCTGTATCTCTGGGAGACTTTTCCTTTCCTTTTCTACCCTCCCCCCCCCTTCCAGGCAGGCGACAGGAGTCACCGCTGACTTGGCAGCCGGAGCGGGACACGATGTCCTGGGCTCGGAGGTCGGGAGGGGTGGGGAGGCAATCCGGGGCCGCATTGGTTGCTGCTGGACCAGGTGAAGGAGCGACGGTTCCAGAGAACCCAGGCAGAATGTGTTTCACGGGAACTCAGAAGTGAGGCGTTGCATCAGGGACCGCTGGCAACCAACTCTCCAGCCTGGAAAAGCCACTTCCTGTTTAACACCGAATTCTTTACCTAATGCCCAGCTGTTCCAGTGAATTTGCACACTGCCCAGAGTGGCTTCTGGGGAGACCACAAATTCGATTAATAAATCAATAGACATTTTTGGCGAATAAAGGCCACCAGATGCACCCCAGTTGAAGGTTATCCTGCAGAGAGCTTGTTCAGAGGGCCAGTAGCTGATGGGCAGCCCCCTCCCATCACCTCCCAGGGGTTTGGACCAGGGGGCTTCCTGGCTGTCCTGTCACCTAACTTCCAGCAGAGGGTGGTTTCTGCAGTGGCCGAAGGAGCAAGTGATCTTTTCATAAGAAGGTGGGGGTCTCCAAATGGTATTTACAGCCTTCCTTCCTCTCCTTTCTCTGGGAGGGGCCCAGCAGAGCAGTGAAATAAAGTAGGAGATCCTGTCAGGAGTGTCCAATAATCTACTGCTGATTTTAGTAAGGGGGGGGAGGGTCAGATCCAGGTAGTCCTTCCTGCCCATCCCCCCCACTGCTCCGGTGCGTCCACAACTGGGAACAGAGCAGCTGTCCCTGTTCTGCTTCTCAAGCCTTCGGTCCCCACCCCCTTCTCTCTCTCTCTCTGTCCCCTGCCCCTCCCTCCCCCCTCCCTCTCACAAAAGGCTTTCCAGGAAAACCCCATGCTTGCACTTCTCGCTGTCCCAGATTCTAATAAGAGCTTTTTTGGAAATCCCATTAGAAGTTGATCAGGTTAAGATAAGTGATCGGAGAATGAAAGCAGGATGTTACTTTTGTTTTCCTGGAAAGAGGCTGCAGCTGCTGCTTCCTGAAATCTGCAGGACCTCCAGAGAACCACTGGATTTCTTGTCACTTTTAAGGCAGGAATCTTGGCTTCCACAGCCCTCGGGCAAACTGGGCCTACAGCTTTTGACTCCTGTTTTCACACAAGAGTCTTACAGGATCTCCAAGTCCTAGATTATTATTGGTAAGGATGCTCAAGCCAGCTTTAACATAGGTTTTGTGGCTGGTTTACGTCTTCCTGTGTTCGTTTGCACAAGCAAAGCACTCTGTAAAGACAAATTTCTACCTGAACTGGGTGTTCAGTCTAATCACACACAGCACACACACTTTCAAACAGCAACTATTTTTAAAAGGAGCCTCAGAAATTTATCTTTCCCTGAGAGATCCCTGGCTTGGGTTCATCTTTTAGGTTAAAACAGTTCTGAACAGGCAGGATTGTGACACGTTTCCAGGCTGGGAAAATCAGCACCTGTTGAATGTCTGACTAGTGGACTAGCTCAGTCTGATTTGCAGCAAGGCAGGGACCCAGATGCTCTGAGCAGAGGTTTGCAACACAAGTTGCCATGGAGATTTTTTTTTTTCTTTTAAAAAAGGGACACTCGCTTTTCTTGTGGGAAGCGCTTCAGAAGAAATCTAGACTTTCAGGGTGCTGAGCTTACCAGCATCAAAGTCAGTTCTGTTTCCTGAAGCCAGTTTCTGATCCTCCAGAAAGACTGAAACTGCGGTTTCTATCTTCTTTTCTGAAATGGTTGATTTCAGGGAAACCGAACCACGCAGAGATGCAAGTGACAAAGATGGGCTGGACTGCAGACTGACGCCTGCAAGACAGACAGTCCCAGAATTCCATGGAACTCCCACTTCCTCCCTGGAGATGGCTCTGCATTGAGGACTCGATGGTCCTTCCGAGGACTTTTCTTCGGAAGAGGTGGGGGTCTCTCTCTCTCACACAGGAAGTGGCTCCTGGTCTGTTAGGTCATGGCCAAGCCAGGGGTGAAGGTGGTGGACATCGCAGTCTGGCAAGATGGGGAAAGATGGAAGAGGAGGAAGGGGGATGGCCTGGGGGCTCCTTCCAAGGAAAACCTTGGAAACTCACAAACTTGAGGAAACTTTTGACAGAACTGCTGGATTAGAAAGGGGGGGGGACACAAAGCCAAGAAGTAGCCAGCTCATGGTTGCCTTGGAGGCTAGACGGCTTCTGACCATGCCCCCCCCCCCGGGAGCACGACTGAGTGCCGTGGATACCTCCAGCCATTCAGCACTGCAAAGGTGGTTTCTCAGAGACCCAGAAGGGGGAGGCAGGTGAGGGGTTCGACTGGAGGAAAACAGCAGCAGTAGAACCCTGCAAAGATGGACATCTATTGGCTACCAACCTCCTTGTAATTCATGGCCCACACCACTACATGTGGTAGCAGAAAAGCAGATGTCCCCTTGGGGTGGGGTGGGGGAATCCACTTGGTTAGGGTTAGGTTTGCATTAATTCAGAGAGCAAAATGGACATGACCCACGGATTTGTATGCTGAGGAGGTGTGGACTTTTTGAGTGCACATACATTGGTGGGGGTTTGTTGTAGAGAAGGAAATGGGAAAGCAGTTACATTAATTTGCTTATTTGTGGCTCTGCTTCTGAGGAAGAGCGGTTGTATATACACAGGAGGCAGAAATTACCAAAGTAGCAACGGTACAAAGATTACTCAGCTTCCAAAGAAATCCAGCGTGTCAAGAGAGGCACTTCTGAACACTGCTGCCCCCTCCCGGCCGAAGCTTTTGCCGCAGTCGTTCTCCCTCAGAAATCTAAGGCTGGTCCGTGGGGGCTGAGGGAGAAAGTGTCCGTCCTTGGCGAGAAGGGCCAGAGCCAAGGCTGCACCGTAGATCAGCTCCTCTCTCACCTGCCTCTCCTTGTCCTCTAGCCAGCTCGGGGCCACCGTCAGTGGCCTGGCTCCTCCTGTCTGTCAACTGGTTCTGTTTCAGGGAATGTTCCTGTAGGGTCTTTTCCCTTGGAAGGCAGCCTTGTTCGCCCTCCCTTCTTTTTTGGTGAATTTTCCACCACAGGGTGGAAAGAGAAGAGAGGGGGGGAGGGGAGGAGAAGAGAGGAGGCGAAGCGAAGGGAGGAGGACTTACCAGGCCTGGCCCCAGAGATGCAAGGCTGCCTGCCTAAGTAGGGGGCAGCCCCGGAAAGCAGCCCCTTTGTAACACATTCAGCTCCTGCTAGTTTTTTGTGCAGCAAGAAAGGAGTCTGGAGCTCCCCCCCTCCCATTCTTTTCCTTCATGTTGTACCCACCGAGTTGGGGCCAGCAGCAGGTTAGGAGGAGGCGAGTGAGGCAAGAGCCCCTTTCTCCACCCAATTCCCCCAAAACAGCTTCTCCTGAACAGAGTAACTCGGCAAAGGCCAGGCTAGAACGGGTCTCTGCAGGCCGAACTTCAAGCAGCCCCAGCTGGGCCTGGCGGTGGTGGTGGTGGTGGGGGGAATGGATCAAATCCATGCAAGGAAGCCCTATTTGGAACACAAAATCTTTCCAGGGCAAAGAAGGGAAGGGAAGTGGGTGGCTGTGGTATGAATAAATCAGCTTTTAAATGTTTTAAGATTATTAGATTTCAGGAAGAAAAGTGAACTCATTAGACTGTAATGAGATGAAACATGGATTTAATCTTGACTGCAACGCCCACGCCAAGCTAAAATTAGACAGCCGGCTTTCCTGCCTGTCTCCACGCGAACTGGGAAGCCAAGTTCAGTTCTGTGTGTGTGCGAATGCCCTCAATGCCCTCCTTCTGTGCTTTGGCTCAGAGACCCCTTGCCCAAAGGGGTCTTTGCCCACTGGTCCTCCTCCCATCCCATCCCAGGCAGGGAACAATGATCCTCAGGTCTCCTCTTCACACAGTGAAATTCTCTTGAATGAGAACAGCAGTTTGAGAGCGGCCTGGATGCCCCCTCCCACCCGAGCCTTCCTGGCCTGTGCTTCCTTCAGGACGCCTGACTGGCCAAAGGGCCAGGGAGGCTGGGAGTGAGACAACAGGAAGCGCCACAGTTAATTGTCAGGTTATTGTGATCCTGACAATTAACAAGAAGAGATCCATGAATTAGCACACCATCTTAATTGAGAGCAGGAATTTGGGGCAATGGAATTGCACAGCCTGTCTCCTTCCCTTCATCCTTCATCTGCTCAAGAGGCCTGCCCGGCAACATCAGGAAGTGCAGCTCTTGAGCCATCTCTGGTCTTTTGGACTGACGGACACATTGGGGTGCAGGATGGAGGCCAGAGGACACCCAAGGAGCTTTCCGGCTAAATATTGACCTGAGAAGAGCCCATTTGACAGGGATGTGTCATCGCTTAGTCCAGCCTGATCCTGCCACACACCGGCAATTCACGTGGGCTCCACGTAAAAGTGTTGGCCATTCCTAGTCATCTTTGGCTGACCCACCTGTTGCCTTCAATGGGCAGCTGGAATGAGGAGAAGGAAGGGGGGAGCTGGGGCTACCTTCACACAGAGGCCAAAGTACCTCTTTCCTTCCACAGAAGAGGTTCAGCTCTCCTGGCAGCTCTTCCTCTCTTGCGTAGAGGACAGACGGAGGGGTCAGTCAGTTTGCTCAGCTGAACTGGAACTTTGGAAAATAAGCGGAGGGCCGAGGCTGCCTCCCCCCACCAGCTAGGCTAAGCTGCCTGCAGGCCAGGTAAAGGTGAGTGAGCGTGCGAATGCTACCCTCCTTAGGCCAGCACGGTCAGGGGACCAGCATAGGAATCAAACAGGCTGGGGTGAAGTCTCTGCCAAGCTCAAACCAACAATGGGGAACTCTCATTGCCTATCTTTCTAAGCCTGTTTCTCTCTCAGGGTGAGAACAAACAAGGCCAGCTGGATTGGCAAATATCCGGCGTCCTTTGCTCATCTTTTGGCACCTACGTGATCTCCCCAGGATCCGGTTTGGAGTGGCTTTCAGTAAAGGGGGCCGAGCGAATCGGCCGAGCATCCTCCGGAGGCGTTGGGCTACTACAAATCCCATCATTCTGGCCGTGCAGGGCCAAAAGTTGGGCGTGGGAGCTACCCTCCTGGCTGGCTGCCTTGACCATCGTGGTCAAGGGCTGGCGGGAGGGGCCCCGCGGGGGCGGGGTTGCTTGGGGGGGGGGGGGAGGGAAGCTCTGCCGTTGCTGGCGGCTTCCAACAGCCCATCCCCCCCCCGCCTTTTCCGCCCGCGCGCGCGCGCCTCCCCCATTGAGAAAAAGAAAAGATACAAAAGTTTCAACGCTCCGCCGGGCCGCGCCGATTGGCGGAGCGCGGCAGAGTCGCGTGACCCGGCAGCCAATGGGAGGCCGCTTGTGCTGTTTCGGCCGGGCGAGAGTTGCCAGTTGAGCGGGGCGGCGGCGGCGGCGGCGGCGGCGTCTCCTGGCGGCGGGCAGGGTGAGTGGCGGCGGGCGAAGCTTCGGGGCCGGGAGCCAGCCGCCCCTCGCCGGGCCTGAGGAGAGTCTTCCGGCCGGCGTTCCCGCTGCTCCGGGAGGGGGCTTGAGCGGCATTTCCTGGCTCCCCTTGGCCGCAGGGAGGTCGGTCCTGCGTGGCTCAGGGCGCTTCCTGCCCCTCCCCCGGGCCCTCGCGATGTCCCCCCAACACCACCCACGGCCGGCCCCGCTGTTGCAGCGCAGTTGGGGGACCAGGGGGGAAAGTGACCCACGGAAGCTGAGCCGGCTGTGCCCGATGCCCTGACTGCGAGCACCGGGCCGGGGGGGGGCAGTAAGCAGCCTTTGGGGAAGCGATCTCACGCCCAAGGACCGACCCTCCGTACCTGGCCATTGAATACCCACCGTCCAGTGTGAAGCGGTTGGCCGAAGCTCTCCCGGTGGTGGCGCTGGCCCTCCCCCCTGTGGCCGTTTGGGAAAGGAAGGGCTGGTTTGGAGCAGTGCCAAGGATGGCTGGGAAGTTGTCTTGGCCTGACCAGGCCCCTTCTTGGCTCCCTCGCCCCCCCCCAACTCCTGATGGGCTCTTCTGGCCCCTGGTGCCTCTTACTGTTCCTCCAGCCAGTTTCAGAGGTGAGGGGCCTTTCCCTCCTGGCCGGCAACCCCTGCACACCCCCATCAGAGGCCTTCTGGCACGGGACGTGCAGTAAAACATTGACGTGTAGAAGTGAAGCATTTTCTTTTACTTCTGAATTGTATGTTGGAGCAAAATCTACAGAGGTACCAATGGCAAGGGGCTTATCTTTAAATGAATCCATATGAAGTGTAAAAATAAATCCAGGAAAACTGTAAAGTCCATTTTAAAATCCATGCCACAAAAATTTGATGGAAGGAAAAGTGCATGGCCAGCAGAGGACGTGCCCCCCTCTACCCTCCTGTCAGAGTTGAGTGTGGCCTGAGGAAGGGGCAACCTGTGATGGGGAGAGACCTCGGGGTTGCTTTGCCTTCCAGTCCAGCGGTGTGCCAAGGAGGGAGGGGTGGGCAGCCTCACCCCTTCCCAGCTTGAAGGCCCAGGCAGGAAACAACAGTCCAGCTGTGGGGGGTTCCCTGAGCCTCCTGACATAATGGCTCGGCTTGCAAAGTGGTCCCCAGGTCCTCTCAGTTGGCCTCTCTCGAAGGCAGCAAAGAAAGCAGCTAGAGGCCGCCTTGCCCTGGCCCAGCTCTCTCACCTGGCTTGCCCCGTTTGGCCCCCTGCCTGCCCAGCCGAGTGGCTCCCCCACAACTCTGTTTATGGCGTCCTTGTTGCTGCTGCCAGTCCAGGCAGTTGAGCCTCTTCCTTTGGCTCAGCAAGTCACAAGCAGATACGATGGAGGAGCAGACAGAAACCTATTAAGTGCGCTTTTCAATTTAGCCGGATTATGAGCTCTCGGACCAACCACAAGCCCAAATGCGTTTCTTCTTCCCCAAGTCCCACTCTGGCCTGCTTTCTAGGACCTGCCTTTATTTTTCTTTAAAAACGTATCTTTATTTAAAATGATTCAGACATGAATAAGATCATAAGACCACAAGGCTGGGAGGGATATTATCCTGTGTGGCTGGTCCTGTCAGACGTGTGGTGCAGGGGTGAAATTCAGCCGTTCTATCCGGCTTGGGTGAAATGGTAGCGGCAGCTGCGGGAAGCTCCGCCCACCCGTGCGGATATCATGATGTCCCTTTTTCAACCTCTGCGTATGCACAGAAGGCTTTGCGTATGCGCAGGTGACAGCATGAGCGAGCAAAGCGAGCACGCGTGTGGTGCATGCATATTTGTGAACCGGTAGGGAAGCTAAGTGAATTTCACCCCTGGCCTGGTGGGCTCTGCAACTGACCTGCTCCCGATGCTCTCCTCTCCCCAATTCGCAGGAAGATCATGCCAGGCGGCTTCTACCATGACTGACCCTGAAAGAAGCCCGTTCGATTCTGCGGAAGACGAGATAAACTACTGGAAGGAGGTTTCCAGCAAATACAAGCAGTGGTAAAGGTCCCCCTCTGGCTTCCCTGGGCACTGAGCAGCGACACTTCTGGGCGTTGGGCAGGCATGGGGTGCCAGCACAGCCACCTGCCCGGTCCCTTAACCAGGGTCAGCCTCGAGGTTGGCGTGACCGGCTCCTGCCCTGCTTTGCCCTCAGTGTGGAGAGCGCCCAGGAGGAGCTGCGTGAGTTCCAAGAAGGCAGCCGCGAGTACGAAGCCGAGCTGGAGATGCAACTGCAGCAGCTGGAGACTCGAAACCGGGACCTGCTCTCGGAGAACGCCCGGCTGCAGATGGAGGTGGAGACGGTCAAGGTGAGGAGGGAGCCGGGGACACTCCTGTATGCCAGACCCCCTGGAGGAGGAGACATAGCAAGACAGGCTAGGGCCGGGGGAGCCCCAGCATCGCCTGTGAGGGGGGCTGGAGCCGATTTGGGGTGCAGACAATATTTCAGTCCTGCAAGGGCCATCCTGGCCATTAGGGGGCACCTTTTGAGCTCCTGAGTTTCTCTTGGATGAGGGGGGGAGGAGGAGAGAAATGGAGTCCTGGGTGGGCAAGCAGGGGAAGGACGGCTGCAGGGCCGCCTGGCAAGCAGTTCTTTGAACTGGGCGAGGCAGAGGCCTACCTTGCAAGGGTAGTGTGTGTCTGAGATTTACTTTTCAGTCAGGGACATTTACATGTAGGTCTCGCATGCATTTACACGGGGTGGGGCTCCAGGTGTGTGGTGCAGCTGTGGCCTTGCCAATGCTGGCCTTTCAGGGCACCTAAATATGCAAAGATGGGCATCTTGGCTTCAGCTGGATGGTTGGGTTTTGCCCTCTCTTCATGCTCCGGATGTTGGCAGAGTTTGGCCAGGGGAAATTGGCCGCTTCTGTGGGCTGGTGGAAGAAAGGGGCGGGCAGATAATGCGAGGCTCATCAAAGATGAAGGGGAAAGGGACACCACCCCTCCCCCATCCAGCCTAAAGTGATTGGGGATCCGGTTTTTAACATCGTGATCCCACAGTCCATCACCTGATGAAGCAGCTCTCGGACAGGGAAAGCCATTTTGACAATTGGATCATTCATCCATGCCCCCTGCAACACAACACCCCCCCCCCCGGAGCAGTGCTGGAACAGAGGCCCATTGAAGCTGCACCAGCTGCCAGGTGGCAGAGAGAGAGCCAAGCTGAGGCAAGGGGTCTGTCTCTCGGGGGCAGCGTTGGCGTTCAGAGCCCTGTTCTGGGGGGGGGAAGCAAGACAAGGCAGGACACGCCATGGGGGAGGGCAAAGGGCCTCTGACTGTGAGAGTGGCATCTTGTTTTGCGTGATTGTTTGGGGCTAGGAGAAGATTGCCAGCCACCACGCCGATGGGCACCGGCAGATCTCGGCCCTGGAGGAAGAGCTGGGCCAGGTGAGGGCCACCCGGGACCAGCTGCAGAAGTATATCCGGGAACTGGAGCAGTGCAACGACGACCTGGAGAGGGCCAAGAGGTACCCCGGGCGGAGGGGGGGACAGGGTTGGCTGCTTCTCAAGAGGGGCCCTGGAGCCTCCCCATTGACCCTCTGAGGCCATGGGGCCCAGCTTCCTCAGAGGGGGGGCTCCCCCAGCTCCAGGCCCGGCTAACGCTCCGCCTGGGCTCCTTGCAGAGCCACCATTATGTCCCTGGAAGATTTTGAGCAGCGTCTGAACCAGGCCATCGAACGCAACGCCTTCCTAGAGAGCGAGCTGGATGAGAAGGAGAGCCTTCTGGAGTCCGTGCAGCGGCTGAAGGACGAAGCCAGAGGTGGGTGGGCAGTGCTTCGGTCCGCACTCTGGCGCTTCCCAGCCGCTCTCTGGGCCAGAAGCCCCGGGAGGGCCTGCGGTTGGGCCAGCACGAAAGAAGAGATGTCAGGGAGGGAAGAGGAGCCGGGCAGGCAGCAACCCCCTTTCAAGGGCTGTTCCTGCACGTGGCAGAAGGAGCCTTTGCCTCCTGAATCTGCTGCACACTCTTCCCTGGACACAGCTGTGCGCTTCAGAGCACTTTGGGGTGCCGAGGCCCACTGGGGGCGGGGAGGGGCAGGGTCATCTCACCCTTGAGCTACTTTGGCCCCCTAGATTTGCGCCAAGAGCTGGCCGTGCAGCAGAAGCAGGAGAAGCCGAAGGCCTCGGTGGAGGGCTCCCTGCAAGACAGACGGACGGACGCAGCCATGCAAGCCTCCTCCTCCAGGCCATCGACCCCTGTGGTCCCCCAAGTGCCGAGCAATGGATTTACTACCCCCGGAGCCTTCAGGAGAGGTGAAAAGTTTCTCTCTCTCTCTCACACACACAATTTTCTTTTCACTTGCCCAGTAGAGTCCGTGAAGAAATAGCGCCCCCTGGTGGGGAAGGGGAAGAAGTGGCTGTACGCTAGGCCCTTCCCAGTGGGGAAGATGGCCGGGGTCACTGATGGCCTGGAACTGAGTCTGGGTAGAAAAACCTCAAGTCCTGTTACAAAATCAGTTCAAGAAGAAGCTCTTTAGAAAGATCTAAAATCCACCCATTGTTCCCTTTGCAAATAAAGCATCTTTTTTATCCCAGGTTTTGAGACTGGATCTGGGGCAACCCCGCTTACGCCAGCTGCACGGATATCAGCACTGAACATCGTGGGGGACCTCCTGCGGAAAGTCGGGGTGAGGCTTCTGGGCTCTTGAGATGAACGAGGGGAAAAGCTGGATTTACCCTCCATCCGTAATCAAGCAGTGGGATCCAGGCTGGATTTTCCCAGGGCTGACCCAGCCATGCTCTTCGCTCCTAGGCGCTGGAATCGAAGCTGGCCTCCTGCCGAAACTTTGTCTACGACCAGACCCCTTACCGAAGCCCAGCGCCCCCTCCTCCCTACTTGGGCAGAGATGCGTTCGAGAGGCGGCTGAGCAGCCCCCATGTGCCCCAGGGGTGAGTCTACAGGAAACCCTCCCTGCGGAGAGGCACTGCAGAAATTACGTGCCACTGTTGTCTAAAGGTGCTGAGCCACGAGAGGTGGCTGGAGGCCTTCGCCCCCAGAGAGGGCTCCACAGAGGCTCTCTCTCAACTCTGTTGTCCCCCGGATGTGCTGGAATCGAATGGACGTCAGCAGGGCCTTGCAAGCACAGGTTTTCTTAGCCTGTTTGTGAAAAGATGGGCGTTACCGGAGCCCCCGCCTTGGTACAGAGCTTTGACCCAGGCGGAGTAAGTCACTCCTGCCTTCTTTTTATTTAATCACTTTGGCCCTTGGTTCAAAGGCCCCACTCCGGGCTGCTTAGTCCCAGCGGAAAAGCGCCCTGCTGGATCGGGCCTCAAGGTCAGTCTGGCTGGCATCTGCAGGCCTTGGGGGAAGCCCCAGAGCGGGCAAGGAAGCAGCCCCACGGCATGGCTCCCAGGAGAACAGGGAGGGAAGCATCCACAGATACAGCCTTCTGCAGCTGGCCTCCTCCCAGTTACAGATGGGCCGGAAACTGGGAGCAGCCCTCCTGGGGTAGGAAGGTGCCAACTCCTTGCCTGGCATTGGCTCTTCCGCCCCCGGAGGGTGTGGCATCTTCTAACGCCTTCCTCGCCTGGGGTGAGTTGTGGCCTTCCCTCGCTTGATTCCCCCACTGTCAGCCCTCCGAGGCCAATGACCCCTTCTGATTCCACAGGCTGGCCAAGAGACTGGATTTAGGCACTCGGCCACCCAACCTTGCTGGGCCGGCAGGCCTTCCAGCCCAGATGCTCTTCTGAGGGACCTTGGGAGCAGCTCGCTTCTCGGGCAGCTGGTAATGGCTGTTCACCTGCAACGGGGGAGAGCAGCGAGAGGAAAGCTGGCTATGTCCAGAGGAAGAGGGAGCCTGTCTTGGGACCCAGCATGCTGAAGGGCCACATCAAGGACCTTGCAAGGGAGCCGGAGATGAGTTTTCCTTGCCCAGCCGGGAGGCTCTGCTTTCCTCGCCAGGGATAGTAGAGCCCCTTGATCTTGGACTCCTGCCCTGGCTTCCTTCCTGCCCCCAGTTGGGCCCCCAAAGGTCCTTGCCCTTGAATGGGGCACTTCTGGAGAAGCCTTCAGGGTTCTTAACACCAGCATTTCTGGACACCGCAAGTGTATCTTTTGGGCCTCTTAAGCTGTGGCTGCCCTGGCCAAGGAGGAGCCTTTTCCCAAAGCGCCTGCTGAACCACTTGAAATGCCTCCCGATGGGACTTCCTCTGATGCTGCCTAGGGGTCATTTGCTGGGAAAAGGGGGTTGGGTCTCAGGAAGCTCAGCAACACCAGCTTTGCGTTGTCAGATGCTTTCTCCGCTGCTGGGAGCGCAGAGAGTTAAGGGGGCCCGGCATAGAAATCTTCTAAATTAAAAAAAGCACAAGCTGGTATACTCCAGAGGTTTAGGACAAAAACTCCCCTCATCCTCAGCCAACAAGGCCTTCGGGCGATGGTTGTTGTAGTCCGACCCATCTGGAGAACCGGAAGTCTACCATTAAAAGGTTCTGCCCTGGTGCCTTGATCCTGTCCCCTTCCCTGTTTAAAGTGGAGCCTTTTAATCCCTGCGGTTTATAAAAAGTTTGTTGGGGGAGAATTAGTGTGGAGGCTCCTATTCCAACTTGCTCTCTGGAGCGGGGGGGGGGGGGGGAGCACTGGGAAGGGGGCCTAGTTCAGTTGCTGGGTTATTAAACTGATTTGTCATCCAAATCGACTGTGCTGCTCTCTCCAGTTTGTTTTTTCTTGGCTAGAACTGAACAGAACAGAGAATTGGCAGCAAGGAACCATCCTGCAATCTGGACAAAAAGAAGCTGGCTTCCTCTAACACGGGTTTCAAACTCAAGGCAGAGTGCTTAGATCTGACCCGCGGGGCTGCCTTGGAAAGAGCGAAGGACTGGCCCCGTGGGGCCTCTGCCAGCGAAAACAGCTCAGGAGAGCCTCCGGAGCTTTGTTTTTGCTGGCAGAGGGTTGCAGGAGGCTGTTGCAGATGAAAATGGAGCTCGGGAGCCCGTTTTCGCTGTCAGTGCGCTCAGGCCACCACAGGTGCCGATGTCAAGCTGGCCATGCCCACCCCAGCCCTGCGAGGTCAAACACAATCCTGATGCAGCCCTCAATGAAATCAAGTTTGACACCCCTGTCCTTACATGTTTCAAAAGGCAGTAAGTTTCTAGTCCTCTGCCTGAAGAGAGACATGCTTGTGAGTTGTCCCTGGGATGCTTCGCTGCACACTTTGCACTCAGGTTCTTCTGATTTTTAACAACCTTTATTAATATGTGTGTGTGTGTGTGTTAAGCACAAAGGTCATCCCAAATAGTAAGAGTTGTTTTCTCGTTCCCTCCCCTCCCCTCCCCTCCCATCCACCCCCAAAGCAGTGACTCAAAAAGGCAGTTGGATTTTGGCAAATTTTGGGGTGCCTTCTGAAAGGCTGGAAGCATCAGGGAAGAACAAGAATTTGAGGGGGGGGCAAGGCAAGTGGGCTTTGTCTCCTAGGGGTTCGGAGCACTTCTGGGGGGTGGCCCTGGTCTGGTCAGCCAGGCATGGGTGTGACCCTTGCAGAAAGGCAGCTGCGCGACTAAGGCCACCATGGCTCAGTGTCTACGGGGGAGTAGAGGCAGCTGTGGTCGGGGAGGACGTGGCTTTGGGACAGGTGAAGCGGCCTAGAGTGCTGCTAATGGCCCCCCCTTTTCCTTTTTTCTGGTGCAGCAGTCAAACGGGCAAGCGTGGAGGAGGGGGGGAGCTGGTTAGTCGCTGGATTTTGTTCCGTTGAAATTTGCATCCCGGGGGTCTCCCTCTTCCTCGGAGCCTTCGGCAGCATTTTCAACCGACCGCCTGCCGCCACCAGCACCCCCCGATCGGCGCGAGGGGGCGAAGGACACCGGCTCGTTCCCGCGCCTGCAGTTGGGAAAAAGGATGGATGACAAAGAGCAGAGAGTCCTTTAGAGAAAGGGAGGCGCACGGGTGCCACTTCTCGGGAGTCGGTGGAGGCTTAAGAGCAGAAGGTGCCATCTGAAAGGAGAGAGATCCTTTCAGAACATCTGGCCAGGAAAAGGCCTCAGAGATGACACTCTGCCCAAGAGCTGCTAGCTCCCCAAATTCCTTTAACCTGCCCTCCATGTCTTGTGGCAGAGAGTTCCTTAAGCCAATGGGGCATTCCTCTGACTTCCTTTAAACTAGCTGAAACTTCCTGCTGGGAAGACGAGGAAACCGGAAGTGAAGAGAAGAGAACAACGTGAAGGAGGGGGGGCAGCTCTAACCGCTCAGCTCCTGTGCAGGAACAGAAAAGGCCAGCGGAAAAGGTGTGTGAAATGCAGCAGCAGGAGTTTGGCTATGTGCGGGCGTGCGCGCGCACACACACACACACTCAGTGGCAGTGGCAAAGCTGAGTGCTGGTGGCAAGGAGTTCCTGCAAAGGAGAATCTACAAATATTACAGAAGGAAGTGGCTCCACCGATCTGGAGAGGTTTTGGCGAATTGGGGCCGATGCATGAATTCCCATCTCAGGAATGGGGGACAGTCCTGAGGATTGCAGCTGGAGGTGGCTGGCAGAAGCAGCTCAGCCCTTTGCCAGGCACCAAGAGGAGAACTGAGGGCCGCAAGGAGTGTTTGGAGCACAGCTGCGCAGTAGAGCATGGCTCCAAGGGAGCCGGCCCGAGCTGCATGCTTTTGCCTCACAAACAAAGTGGTGGCTTGCCTGGCAGCGTGATGGGGCAGCTGCCTGCCCCCCCCCCCCCCCCCCCCCCAGTACCAGGGCCGGTCATGCTTCAAAAGCAGCTGAAGGAAATGCTTTGGGCCTCTGCACTGCTCCATTGCTCATGAAAGCAGCCAGGTTTTCCCCCCAAAGCTCCCACGTGCATCGGAGGGAAGAAGCTGCCGCTGTTTAAAGCAGGAGTCTCCACACGTGGCCCTTTAAGACTTGTGGGCTTCAACTCCCAGAACTGAAGGGGGCAGGTTTTGCCTGCATCCGGCGGGTGGGGCTTTGCGTGTGTGCGCCATTTCTGGCATGCCACAGATGGCTGCTAGACCCCCGGACTAGAATATCAGTGTGCAGGAGACTTCTAGAGAAGAGGAGCCTGCAGAGCAAAGTGTAATATTTGTTTTGCGGAAGAAGCCGCTGCCCACGAGGGATCCAAGCCTTCAGAGTTTGCTCGCTTGGATTTCTAGGGGACTAAAGGCAGGTTGGGGCTTTGCAATCACAAGCAGGCTGCCAAGGTGAAGGCCTGGTACCTGCTGAGTCACTGCGGAGCTTCTGGGTTCCCTCTGAAAGAGAGAAGGTCCCACGGCATCAGCCCCAGCCGGCAGCACCTTGGCAGGCAGAAGAGGGCCTGGTTGGGGGGACCAGGGCCCCAGAGGAGAAGGCGCTGCCATCCTATGCTCAGTCCTGCTCAACCGACTCAGCTGCCAGGAGCCACCAAGTGAGGAAGCCAAGGGTTGCCAGCCAACCACTTGGCTCCGGCCTTGGGTGGAAATGGGTCGAGGCCGCTGGGCAGGAGGGGCCGATGCGTGTGGGGGTGCAGGGCCCTCACCTGAGCTTGCTCTTCAGGGCCACCATCTCCCGCCCAATGGCCTCGTTGCTCTCCGTGGCCTCGTCCAGCTCCCGCTGCAGCTTCCGGCGGCTGGCGTTGATGCGCTGGGACTCCTCCTCCGCCTCCTCCAGCTGCCGCTTCAGCTGCTTCACCCGGGCGCTGCCCTTGTCTGCCTGGTTGGGGGGGGGGAGGCCGGCAGGGGCTTCAGAGCCAGCCCAAGAGGACGTAAAGCCACCCCAGTGTTTCCGGCGGGGGATGATGGGAGTGGAGGTCCCACTCAGCTCTGCCACAGCACTCCCCACTCCCTCGCCTGCCCACCTGGCCATGAACGCCTGCTGCCTGGCACAGCCGGGCACCCACCTGGTCCTTGTACTGCTCGGCCTGCTTCCTCTCATCCTCCGCCTGCAGCAGGGTCTCCTTCAGCTTCTTGTCCTTCTGGCGCAGGGCCTTGGCCACCATCTGCTTTTCCCTGTAGGGAGGCAGAAAGGCTCTCAAAGGGGCTAGTCCACATGAAGCTCTCCAGGGCTTGACAGCAACAGCCCCGCCCAATCCAGAGACGGGACGATCTGCCGCCTTAAAATGAGCAGCCGGCATGTTCCTTTCATGGAAAGAGATTCTGCCTTGTGAATTGCATCCAGGGCGAAGGAAGGAAAATTGATGCGTTTTTAAAAATATTTCTGAGTTTTGGTCAAATTGTTTCAAAGTAGGCTGCTTGTATTTCCTCAGAAAGGGTTTTTATTGACCCAGAACTGAATACAATGTTAAAAAGGTGCTGAGAAAAGTTAAAAGCTAAAAAAGGGGGTCTGCCTGAATGATTTAGTGACGGCATCTCAAAACTCCCCTAGGAAGGTTACCAAGACCAGGCCTGGAGCTTTGGTGCCAAACAGCTGGATGCACACCTGGGCACCCAGGCTGCAACCCCCTCACACAATGCAGCCCTGCCCCACCGCCCCCTTTGGGCACCTGGACTCCTGCTCCAGTTGCTCTTCCAGCTGGCCGATTTTGGCCTCCAGGGCCGAGATGGTGACCTTGAACTTGGCCTTGACGGCCCCCTCCATCTCCTGCAGCTTGGACCTCAGCTCCTTGTTCTGCCGCTCCAGCTGCTGGCGGGCGCTCTCGTTCTTCTGGGCCGTGGCACGCTCCGTGGCCAGCTCATTGCTCAGCTGCTCCGACTGGAGAGGGGAAAAGGGGGATTTCCCGAGGGGCCATCTGGAGCAAGTCCCGCTTTTCCCATGCCCACCCCCTCCCCTCCCCCCCCGCCCCAGGGAGGGGGCTTACCTGCTGCACCGCCTTGCGGAAGCGGTCACTCATGGCCTCCATGTTGCCCTGCTCCTCCTCCAGCTCCTCCTCTATCTGGGAGATCCGGGCCTCCAAGCGGCGCTTCTCGTCCTGCAGGCTGATCCTGGGGGGCAGTTGGGGGCATTGCAGGTGATCAGCAGCTGAGGTCCACTCCCTGCCCCCGCCCCAGCTCCCAGCTCCAGTGTTGGGCAGCTCATCTGAGTGCTCTCCAGCTCCGGCTGGGGGGCGCTGCAAGGCCCCTTACCTCCCCGAGGCAGAGCTGGCCAGCTCTTCCGCCAGGTCCTCCTTCTCCTGCTCCGCTTGCTTCCGAGCCCGCTCTGCGGCAGCCAAGTCCTGCCAAGGAAGAGGCTCCTTGAGCACCTCTCTCTCCAGACAGAAGGGACTCCGCAGGGCCCGGGACCCACTTTCAGAATCAGGGAGCTGCCCTTTAACTCGCCCTGAGAGGGCTTGATTTGATAGTATTCCCCACTTGGGCAAAGGAGATGTTTTAAATGGCTGTTTGGCCAGATTTCAGTCCTGCTTTTCTCCTGGGGTTGGGGGTGGCCTGTGCAGCTCCCCCCACCTCAACCTTCTGCCCCAGAACCACCCTGTGCAGGGGGTGGCCGGAGTGACTTCCATGGCTGACAGCAGAGTTAGGTCTTCCCACTTCAGCCCTTCACTGTTCCTCTCTCTCTCTCTCTCTCACACACACACACACACACACACACACATCCTGGGCCGTGGGTGTTCAGGGTGCTCACCTCGGCAGAGCTGAATCCCCTCCTGGCCTTTCCAGCCTCCCACCAGCTCACCTCTTGCAGCTGCATGAGCTCCGCCTCCAGGTTCTTCGCCTTCTTCTCATTCTCCCGGGCGGTGGCAAAGACCTCTTCCCTGGCGGCCCGGGCATCGTCCAGCTCCCGCTGGAAGTCCTTCATCTGGGCCTGGGAGCAGGGTCAGAGGGTCACTCCTTAGCTCAGGCCTTCCTCCTGCCCCCTCCCTGCCCCCTCATGTAACCCCCTCCTCCCCCAGACAGCCCCATCTTCCAGGACCAGTGAGGTGGGGGGAGCATGATGGCTGTCTCCAAAATGCATCTGGAGCCCCCCTGGAGAAGCGGGAGACTGCTCCAGAAGGCGGGTGGACCTCCCTACCTGCAGTTTCCGCAGCTGCTTGATGGCTTCCTCGCGGCCCTTGATGGCAGAGTCCACCTGCCCTTCCAGGTCTTTGAGGTCCACCTCCAGCTTCTTCTTGGCGGCCGCTGCCAGGCCCCGTTGCTTGCGCTCGTCTTCCAGTTCTACCTCCAGCTCATGGAGCTGGTGAAGAGGGAGGAGAGACCGGGAGGGTGATGCCACGCAGCCTGGAGTTTGCAGCTGCACCCAAAGCCACCTGTGTCCACCCTTCTAACTCTACAGCCCACAACAAAACAGTGCTCGGTCTCATTCAAGACAATGATGAATCCGCCTACAGACAGGAGGTTGAACAACTAGCCTCGTGGTGCGACCGGAACAATCTGGAACTGAACACACTCAAAACCGTAGAAATGGTGGTAGCCTTTAGGAGAAACCAGGGATGAAATCTACTTACCTTCCTTACCGGTTCGGAAACGCACGCGTGTCACATGCGCACACACACCTGTGCGTGCGCAGAAGGCAAAAAAACATTACTTCCTGGTTAAAACCAGGAAGTAATGACACCTGGGCGGCGATCACTACCAGATTGCCGAACCACAGGGAAAAATCGCTACCGGATCAGGTGATCTGGTCTGATCCAGGAGCATTTCATCCCTGGGAGAAACCCTTCCATACTTCCACCTCTCACAATACTAGACAACACAGTATCAACTGTAGAGACCTTCAAATTTCTAGATTCTACCATATCCCAAGATCTAAAATGGACAGCTAACATCAAAAACGTCATCAAAAAAGCACAACAAAAATGTTCTTTCTGCGTCAGCTCAGGAAGCTCAAACTGCCCAAGGAGCTGCTGATCCAGTTCTACAGAGGAATTATTGAGTCTGTCATCTGCACCTCCATAACTGTCTGGTTTGGCTCTGCAACCCAACAAGACAGACACAGACTTAAGGGGATAATTAGAACTGCAGAAAAAAACAATTGCTACCAACCTGCCTTCCATTGAGGACCTGTGTACTACACGAGTCAAAAAGAGGACTGTGAAAATATTTACAGACCCCTAGCATCCTGGACATCAACTGTTTCAACTCCTACCCTCAAAACGAGGCTATAGAGCACTGCACACCAGAACAACTAGACACAAGGACAGTTTTTTCCCGAACGCCATCAGTCTGTTAAACAAATAATTTTCTTTTATGTACGCTCTGAGCGTATGCACCAAAGACAAATTCCTTGTGTGTCCAATCACACTTGGCCAATAAAAAATTCTATTCTATTCTATTCAATGGAGGCTGCCCATTCAGGAAAGGGTCACTGGTATGGGAGGGATGCCCACAACAGGAAAGGGGCCTCCTGTACCTGCTTCTGCAGCTGCCGGCGCTTCTCTTCATTCTGCTCATCCCGGGCTTGCAAGTCCCTCTCGAACTGCCCCTTCAGCGCTTGCATGTTGACCTCCAGCCTCAGCTTGGCATCCTCAGTGGCCTGCAGCTCATCTTCCAGCTCCTCCAGCTGAGTCTTCATTTCTTCCATCTGCTGCTCCAGGGCCCGTTTGGACTTCTCCAGGTCATGGACCTTCCAGAGAAAAGAGCGTGAGGGAGGAGGAGAGGTGAGGGCGAGAGGAGGAGGAGGAGGAGGAGAGGGAAGGAGGGAGAAGGAGAAGGGACTTACGTTCTTGCCAACATCATCCTTGGAGCTCACGAGGTCTTCCATCTCTGCTCTCAGCAATTTGTTGGTCCTCTCCAGCTCCTCCTTGGCTTCCAGAGCCTCCTCCAGAGCTCGGGCCAGTGACAGTGCTTTGGTCTCCTTTTCTCTGGCTTCGGCTTCTGCTCGGTCTCGTTCCTCAGCATATTTGGAAGAGATGTTCTTCTCCTCAGCAAGCATCTACGAAAGCAGAGAAGGCGTTGGGGGCCACTTGAATGAAGCCACAGTGCCAAGCTCAATGAGCAGGCCCCGTCTACTTTTCCTTACCAGCATACAAAATTCAGGCGACTGGGCAGAATACTAACATTACTAAAACCGCTTTGATGGCTATACTGAATTAATTTACTAAAACCTTTAATTAATCAACATATGTATTAATGTAGTGAAACATAGGTCAACTTTTGCATCAATGGAATGTCCAGTTGCATTAGAATAGATGTTAGAGTAGGGTTAGGGTTAGGGTTAGGTTAGTAGTAGATGTTAGATCAAAGAGTTCCACTCTCACCTGGTCAAATTTCTTCTGCTTCTTCTCCAGGTTAGAAACCATCTGACGTTGGTTGTCCAGGTCAACCACAAGGTCATCCAGCTCCTGCTGAAGCCGGTTCTTGGTTTTTTCCAGTTTGTCGTATGAAGCAGCTTTTTCCTCAAACTGCTGGGTGAGGCCCTCCACTTCCTTCTGGAGCCTCTTTTTGCCTTCCTCCATGGTTTCAATGGTGCCAAGGTACTCTTGCATCTTCCTCTTGGAGTCCGAGAGCTGCGGGTGAGATTCAGAGACACAGCAAGGAGGACTCCTTGAGTCTGTTCAACAGGGCAGCCCCCATCTCTAAAAGCCAGCGGGGGTGGGTCTCTCATTCCTGGGCAGATTGGGTCCCACCACCATTTTTTTTTTTAAATTTGATTTATATGCCGCCCTTCTCCGGAGACTCAGGGCGGCTTACAATGCGTTAAGCAATAGCCTTCATCCTTTTGTATATTTATACAAAGTCAGCTTATTTTGCATCTTCTCTTGGGCCAATTGCATCAAAATGCCATGGGATGCCCCCATGCTTTGGAACACTAACGGGCTCTAAAACAGCCATAAAACCCAACCAACCTTACAAGAGTTGTGCAAGGATAAACAGGCAAGGCATAAACACACAGAATCAGAACTGCTCATACCTGCACGTTTAAGGTTGAAACCTGCCTCTCCAGATTCTGCTTGGCTTCCACCTCTTCCTCCAGCTGCTCCTGCAGGCCATTCTTCTCGTCCTCCATTTGCCGAAGCTTGGTGGACAGGTTGAGCTTCTGCCGAGTTTCCTCCTGCAGCAGCTCCTGGATGGCGGGACAGCCCTTGGTGAGCCCCTTCCCAAAGACCCACCTCATCCTTCCCCAGATGGGAGCCCCCAAAGCACCTACCTGCGTGTCTTGCAGCTGGGAGCTCAGAGTCACCACATCTTTGGTCAGCTTGATGCTCTTGCCCTCGGCTTCATTCAGGAGCACCGCCATGCTTTCAGCCTCCGCCTAGGAAAGGGAAACGGCATCGGGAGCGTTGATCTGCCTTGTGTTTGATTTCCAGCATTGATAGGCTGCGTTACTAGGAAATAGCAACTCAAAAGAAGCAGCAGCTAAGAATAAGGTAAAATAGCTCCCCAAAGCAAAAGAAGAGCAGCAGCGGATCTAAGTTGATTGCTGGAGAGGGAGGAAAGGCCATCCTTCTCAGCAGCTGAGGCCTCCCTGAGCTCTACCACTGAGCGCCTGTTGCCCCACCTGCACTATGGAAGCAGCCCAGACAGGAAAGAGGAGCCAAGTTGTTCGTGGAATCTGGGCTGAACAGGACTCCCTTCTGAGTAAACCCCACGGATGGCACAGCATCACGGAACCCCAGCTCTGCCTTCTGCCAGCCATAGACAAGGAAGGCTCAGCAGCCCATCAGGGGTCCAGGCCCTTCCCCGACTGGCTGTTTTTGTCAAGGTGGGGAAGGATCCCCCCACCCTTTGGAGTTACCTGCAGTTTGTGGACTTTCTCGTTGAGCTCCGTCCGGACTCGCTCCCCATCGGCAAACTTGGACTGCAGCTCCTGCATTTGCCCCTCCAGCTTCTTCTTCTTGTACTCCACCTCCTGCTTGGCCTGATTGAGCGACCGGATCTCGTTGCTCAGGTCCGCGTTGCCTTTCTCCAGCGTCTGCTTGGTCTTGTCCAGGTTGGCCTTGGCCTGAAAGCATCAAAGATGCTCAGCCGGGGAGGAGGATGACCTGGAACGAGCAGGGTCTCCGTGGCAGGGCCCCCATTCCCCTTCCGCCAGTATGGGTTACCCGCTTGAACTGCTCCAGCTGCTCGGCCAGCTCCTCCACGGCCTGGGTGTGCCTCTGGCGCATCTCCTGCACCTGGGCCTCGTGGGCTCGCGTCTCCTCCTCCAGCGCTCGCTTCAGCACCGTCACCTCCTGCTCTCTCTTCGCTCTGAGCCCCAGCACAAAGGAGCATGAAGCGGGTGCGGCTCCTCCATCCTCTCCTGACCATCCCCCCTTCCCACCGGAAGCTGGCTTCCATGCAGCTCAGCCTGAACTGCCCCAGCCCCTCCCCGGCCCCACCTGAGCTCCTGCTGGGTGGCTGTGCTGTCCAAGGTGTCCTCCAGCTCCGTCTTGAGGGCCTCCAGTTCCTCGCCCAGGTCCCGCTTCTGCTTCTCGGCCTTGTTGCGTGCCGCCCGCTCAGAGTCCAGGTCCTCCTGCAGGTCTGAGATGTGGGCTTCCAACTCCCGGATCTTTTTCAGCGCATTGTTCTTCTGGTTCATCTCGTCTTCCAGCCTGGGTGAGGGAAGCAGAAAGGGGCTTCAGTCCGCAAGGCCAGCTGGCTTGGCTCTGGAAACACTGGTCTTGTCTGGGGGCCTTGAGGGATTTCCACGTGCAGAAAGACCGGAGGAGGGAGCAGAAAGGAGGTCCCTGGGGGGGAAGAGACCTCCTGGCTGGTCAGATGGATGTCCCTCTGGAACACAACGGCCCTTCCCTGGAAGACGAGCAGCCAAGGGAGTCCTCTGCACTCCTGTCCCGGGGAGGCTGCCTGGCCCCTTCACTGTCCCGAGGCTCTCGGCCATCCAGGGGAGCCAGCCGGGGGAGGTGAGTGCCCCACCTGGCCAAGGCGGCCTGCAGCTCCTCCTCCTTCTTGGCCAGCTGCATTTTCAGCTCAGCAATCTGGGCCTGGAGGTCAGCAATCTGCTCATGGAAGTCGCTTGAGTCCCCCTCCAGCTTCCTCTTCATTTTCTCTAGTTCTTGCCGGCATTTCTCTTCCTTCTTCAGGCGGACTTCCAGTTCCGAAATCATGGACTCGTGCTTGTTCTTCAGCTTGGTCAAGTTCTTGGCTTTTTCCTCTTCCTCGGCCAGGTTTGTCGTCAAATCGCTGACTCTTTCCTCCAGGAGCTTCCTTTCCTGGGGTGGGGAGGAAAGACGCCTTCCCTGAAGCCTGGAGTGGGAGGAGGTAGCACTCGGGCAGGGGTGCCCACGGGGCCTGGTCAACCGGTGAAATGGCTCCCCCAACCAGGATCGAAGCGCTGCCCGTCTCCCAGATGCGTCTTTACAAGGCTGGGTGGGCGACCCGTCAGAGGCAAAATAGCCTCACCGCAGGACTGGCTGCACCCCCAGCCGCCCCCTGAGCCTGACTGCACTGCAGGGGGCAGGGAGGGGCCACTCTCCTCATTTCCCTGGCCTTGGAGCCCAAGGGGAAGATGAACCGGCACCGACCTTGGAGAGCTTGTTGTTTTGGTCTTCCATGACCAAGATGTCGTCCTCCATCTTCTTGATTTTCCCTTCCGCGGTGACCTTCTCCAGCTGAAGCTTCTGCCTCGCAGCTTCTTCCTCCTCCAGCTGGTCCTCCAAGTCCTTTGGGGGTCACAAGCATGGGGAGAAGGAGAAGTAAGGGGGGGGACAAACGGCCACTCACTGCTCCTGCCCCTAAAGCCACCTTCGGCTTCTTCCTTGGCAGCCCTCGCTCTTTTGGCACCCCTAAAAGCTCCCAGCTGAGCTGTCTCCGGGCTCCCCGACTTGGCCTTGTACACAGCAGACAGAATTAAGACTCCTCCATTCCCTACAAGCCACTAGTTCTCACGGAGGTGAATCTTAGATGAAACCGTGCCAGCATGGCTTGCAGTGGCTTTTCCCTGGCTTGCCCCTCCAATGGGGCTTGAGGGATCCAGCTTCTGCACCCAGGAAAGCCATTTTTCTCTGAAACAGCTGGAAGAGGCAGTGGGTGAGGCTGAAGGCAAAGCTCTCTGGCTTTGTGGGCCTGACTGGGGCTGCCCTCCAGCTGCCAACACCACCCGGGTACCAGCATGTGCTGCTGCAGCTTCTTCTTCTCGGTCTGTAGCTGCTGCCCGCGTTCCTCTTCCTCCTCGATCCGGGCCTCCATCTCGTGCAGGATCTCCTCCAGCTCCTGCTTCTTGGCAGCCAGGCGAATCCGCATCTCCTCGGCCTCCGCGTAGAGCTCGGTCTCAGCCTGCAGCTGCTCCTGAAGCAGGTTCTTCTCTTCGCTCAACTGTTCCGGAGGGAGAGGAGGGCGTTCAGTCGGGGGGACGCCCTGCCTGGGGCACCAAAGGCTTGGCTAACCACCCCGGGTGGGCTCTGCTGGGCTGAGAAAGCCATGCCTGCGCCTCCCACAGGTTCCCTCCTTTCGGCTTCCAGATGTTTCTAATGTCTACAGTAGATTGTGCAGTAGGTTGAGAAGGCAAGAGGGCTAGTTGGCCAGTGGCTCCTCTGGGCATCCTAGGGTGAGCCGGGCACCCTAAGCAAAGTCCTCCACAGGGCAAAACGGCTCAAGAGAAATTGCCCATCCTCCATTTGCACCCCAGGTGTGCTGGGGGCCAGCCGTTCCCTGCGGGGACTCAGGAGGAGCAGGTGGGCTCACCTGGCTGTGCTTGAGCTCCAGCTCCTTCAGCTCGCTCTGGGCCTTGATCTGCCTCTCCTTCACCATCTTCAGCTCCTCGTCCTTGGCCTGCATCTCTTCCTCTTGCCGGGTGACCTGCAGCAGTGGCTTCACCTGCAGAGCAAGAGTTTATGGGGTCACTTATTCCCAACCACTTTGGGGCTCAGCCTGACTGGCCCAGCAGAAGCAATACTGGCATTTCCAGGGGTCTGCGGGGGGGGTGTCTCCCTGAGGACCAGCCACTTACTTTGGTGAAGAGTCTCCACCACTGCCAGTTTCTCAGCTTCAGGTAAGCAGCGCAGTTCCTCTGGATGACCTTCATGGCGGTCAGTTGCTGCTGCCTCTTGGCAAAAGCCCTGCAGAAGTGGAGCATGAAACCTGGGCCCTTTGCACCCCCAGAAGTCTTCCATGAGCAGGGGGGAGGGGGCTGTGAGGCTGCGGGGGCTGCAATGAAGGGCCGGACATTGGCGGGCAAGAGGCCAACTCATCCCTCCATCAACGTATCTCCCACAGCTGCTTCCTCTCTCACCCCTTTGGGCCCCGGGAGGAGCCCCTTGACATTCAACCCAGAGCCCTGGAAGCACCGCTGGGCTGCCCTGCTCCCCTTGAGAGAGCCTTACTTTCTGGCCAGGTAGCCCCGGCATTGGGCCTGGAAGGAGATGATGATGTCAGTGATCCGGAGGTCTCGCTCCTCCTCCAGGTGAGCCAGGACGCCAGTCCGGAAGAAGATCTTGCTCTGGCCAATCCTGTACAGGTTGGGATCCAATTCCAGGGCTTTGATCTATTGGAGGAGGGGGAGGTGCAATATGCAGTTGGTCCTCAGCAGGACTTAATGGGTTCTCCCACTTTCTTCCCAACCGGGCAGGTGCTGCTTGATCAGTAGAAGTCCAACAGGTGGAGTTTGGGCTTCTGATGCCAAGAAGCTATTACTCAAGGCACAAAAACCTCATTGGGAAGGAAGGAAGGAAGGAAGGAAGGGAGAGAGGGAGAGAGGGAGGAAGTTAAAGAATGTATTTTTTCCAAGGCATGTTTGAACTTATGTGCAATCAATTCATGCAACTCTCAATGAATTCTAAACTGTGCTTAAGACAGGAGACCAAAGCTACAAGGAGGCAAAGAGAAGTGAGCCTGGAGGAAAAATGCTCACCATCAGGATGCAGGCCTGCTTCCCATCCATGAAGCCCTTTGGGATGGCGTTAGGAGCCAGGATTTCATACCTGTGGGGGGAAAAAGCACCCCCAAAAGCACCATCACTCTGTTCACTCCGGCCTTAAACTTGGACTCTTGTCGTGTTCCATTTCCTACTCCCATCGTGGAGAAATATCCCCCTCCCCAAACCACAGGACCTTCTCCTAGACAGCCCTGAGCCCACAGATCTACTCTGCTCTGGGGGGGTGGGGGTGGAATTCATTGGGTTCGCCTTGCTTTATAGTCAGAATGGCTCCCAGAGCCCCAAAAGCCTCTTCCGAAACAGGCCTTCGCATTCACCCCAGAGGAGAGCTTTTCCTGCTGACCTCCCCAGGCCTTGGCACCCTTTGGGCACCCGGCTCCTACCCGTCTGGATGGGCTCCAGGACCCCCAGCCTGTCTCTCACAGAAGCCCCCCTTACCGCTGCCTGAATTCCTGGAAGACAATCCTGTTTGGGAAGCCCTGGCGGCAGATGCGGATGCCCTCCAAAACCCCGTTGCACCTCAGCTGCTCCAGCACCAGGTGGGCGTCCAGCTTCCCTGCCTGGAAGAAACGAAGGAGGGGGTGACCCTTCCAAACGGAGAGGAGAGGAGGAGGAGGAGGAGGAGGAAAGGAGGGAGATGTCGATGGGGCCCTTTGGTTCCTGGAGTCCTAAGGAGGGCTAAAACACCCACACAGCAATATCCTCGAATAAATTATCTTTCGCAAAGGGACCCCAGAGCCTGGAATGAAATGCTGCCTCCCCAAAAGCGACCAAGGGCCGCATCGGACACCCCTTTAAGCAGGGAAGCAGTGGGCGGAGCCAATCTCTCTTCTGCCGATGCATTGAGCCCAAAGTCCTGTGGCTGGCTGGGTGTGATGGGAGTTGGGTGTCTGGCATATAGGTAGGGAAGGGCTGCCCAGCATCTGCCAGGTGGAAGCCCCGCTGGGGCACCGACCCTTTTCTCATGGTTTGGGATGATGCAGCGGACAAAGTTGGGGTTGGTGTTCCTTAAGGTCGTCATGAGCTTCGTCAGCTGCTCCTTGTACAGCTGCCCCACGGTCCGGAACATGCCCTTCTTGGTCTTGGAAGCGCTGGGCAGGGAGCTCTCGGTCATCTTGGCCATCTGGTCCAGGCCCACAATGCGGTCCACTGCAGGACAAAGGAGGCCGGAAGGTCAAGCTGGGGGCTCGAGCAGCCCCTGCCCAGCGAGGTTCAACCACTGGGTTTCTCCCACACAATTCCAGGGAGGCCCAGTTTTTAGGGGGCTCCGAGCAGCTTTAAGAACCTCCGACCTTGCCCAGTTGGTAGCTTAATAAAACCTGGACTACGGCTCCCCTCGTTCCCACCCAGCCAAGATTTTATTCCCTACCCTCTTTCCAGAGATCTGCCACAAACTTCTCAGAAGACTGGTTTAGCAAGGCCGTCACATTGTCATTCAGAGGGTCCATGTTTTTGGTCAGCCAGGCACTGGCGTTGTAGGACACCTTGAGGAAAACCGAAAGAGCCGCCGGGGTCACCACAGTGGCCAGAAAGGCCACCTGGGAGCAGTTGACGTGGGTGGAGAGGCAGGCAAGGCGTCCCTAAGAGAACGCAGAGAGAGCGTGTTCTCTGGGCACCAGGAAGAGAAACCTCAGCCTGTTTGGTACCTTTCCGGCATAGTGGACGATGCAGAACTCGGTTTTGTCCTTCAGCTGCTTCTGCTTCAGGAACTTGGGGTGGTTGCCTTGCTCGGTACACAGCTTCTCCACGAAGGAGGTGTCGGTAGCCTTTGGAAACCAGCATTCTTCATCCAGCAAGGCCAGGACACCAGGAGGGTTATTCTGGAACAGCAGTGAGGGGGGGGGGCATGAGGCTGCTGGTGGAAGAGAAGCTGCGGTACCATCTCAAGCTCTGGGGACTTGTGGTGGAGCAGCCTTTGCCCAACTCACTGGCAGAGAGAGGAGCCAAACCTCCATTCTGTTGCTTTACTCAACAGAACTCTTTAGGAGGAGAGGCCCGAGTGGACAGCGGACTACTCTGAGGAGTGGAGGACAAGACTGATTGAAATAGTTAATGTAGTCAACCCCTTCTATCCCCTCCTATCTGAAACGAAGGTCACCAGCATTTTGACTGAGGTTTTCTGCAGACCCACCGCATCCTGGGAAATAACAGGCTAACAGAGTTGAAAGGGACCTTGGAGGTCTTCTAGTCCAACCCTTTGCTCAGCCAGGAAACTCCCAAATCCAGCAGTGCCCAAAGGCGCCATTTTTCCTGCCCACTTTCCCGTATTCTTGAAGGTGAGAGCTGGAGGGCGGCCCCCTTTGCTCCTCGGCATCAAAAGCCACCCAGCCTCCTCACCGGCCTTTCAATCAGCTCAATGCAAGGCTGCAGGTCCAGCCCAAAGTCAATGAAATTCCACTCGATGCCTTCGCGCTGGTATTCTTCCTGTTCCAGGATGAACATGGTGTGGTTGAAGAGCTGCTGGAGCTTCTCGTTGGTGTAGTTGATGCAAAGCTGCTCAAAAGAATTGATCTGGAAAGACAGTTGAGAACAGCTCACGCCTCCCTGCCAGAAAGGGCTCGGCCAGAAACACCCTGGAACTGCCCCAGGCCCTACCTCGAAAATTTCAAAGCCGGCAATGTCCAGGATGCCCAAGAAGGAGGCGCCTTGCCTTTTGGTTTTGTCAAGGGCTTTGTTCACCCGGGTCAGGATCCAACGGAAGAGGCGTTCGTATGTTGCTTTGGCCAAGGCCTCTATTGCGAAATCGGCCTAAGGAGGCAAGGGGAGCCAGGCTGAGTTTCTCAAGGACCCAGACCAGCAAAGCATCAAGGCTCAAGGTCAGAAAGCTGAGCTGGCCTCCTCACCTGTTCCTTGGTCTGTGCCTTCTGAACAACGTCTCGTCCAACCTTGATCCGAGGGGTGAGGATGCACCGTGTAAAATCTGTCACATTGATGCCCGTGAGGTGGCAAACCTTTTGAGCAGCTGGAATCAAGACACATCCTCATGAAGACCATTCTGGTGACTGCAGCCATCCATGGCCGACCGGGCTGCTCTGGCAACCTGGATTCCTCAAGGACTCAATTCACCCTGAGGAGGCAAAACTCTTCCACCACTGCTGGGCACCTACCTGTGTTGTCCGGCATGGATGCCTGATCGGTGTTTCTCTCCTTCTTGAAGACAATATTGCCAAGCTGGAGAACTGATGAGACGACTTTCAGCATTGCTGTGAGGTTAGGAAGGAGAGAAATTCAAAGGACGTCTCTGGGTAGGTGGGTGGATTCTCCCTCTCGATCCCAGAGGCTTTCTTCCCCATAACTATCCCACCAGTGGCTTTACTGAACTCAGAGAGGGTTAGGATCAGGTCGAGAACACATCTGCATAGGTTCCCCATGTGCCAAGATTCAGGAAACCCTTCAGCAGCCTCCCTGCTAAGCCCTGGAACCCGAGGGAGGTGGTTGTATTCTAAGTATCCAGAGCCAGAGGTCCTCTTTGCTTCTCTTACCAATTTGCTCTTCTTCTGTGAATCCCATGATAGTCATGGCTTCCAGGGTCTCCTCAAACATTTCGTTGTCCTGCTGAGAAGGAATGGGCACGTAGCCATTGGAGAGGAACGTGTAGTTGTTGAACCCTTCCAGCAGAAGCTCCACTGCAAGGCAGACAGAACAAAACCTCAGTGAGGCCAAGAGCCGGCCAGGACCCTCCCCAGCTCTGGGTCCAAACTCCTGGGGCCTCATCGCTTACTCCCCAACCGTCCTCCGCCCTGGCCAGCCTGGCCCTGAAAGGTCCGCTTGGGCAACCCCACTCCTAACCAAGGGGCTGAAGAGGAAGTCCCACTCCCCCCCCCGGAGTCTCCTTCAGTGGGGAGCCCATGTGGAGAGCAGAGCTTCCGGCTTTGGGCACAAGGCTTCTTGCCCCAAAGGGGCCACTGGCCTTTTTTGAGAGCAAAAATGTCCTCTTGGCTTCAGTGCCAACACCCTTTGGGGAAGGGAGAACCTGCTCCCCCCACCAGAAACTGCAGCTGCTCTGAAGTGCCCCTCCCTCTCAGGCCACCCTCCCAAAAATCGGCCAAGGAGGCGACTTACTCTTCATTTGTTCATTGGCCCCGGCAAGTAAATAATAAAAGATGTGGAAGGTCCTTTCCTCTCGGGCCTGCCGAATAGCGCGAGATTTTTCCAGCAAATCTGTCCATGAAGGTTCAGCAAGTCAACCGTTTTTTTAAATAAATACTAACTTACCCACAGTTAGGTAAAACAAGGCAGTTGCCTGAAGCAAAAAAGGGGGGGATTCTGAAAAAGGATACAGGTTTCAATATTTGCTCCCACAATGTACCCCGTCACGTCAAAGTTGATGCGGATAAATTTGCCCTGTTGGAGAAAGGAGACGGCATGGTTGGGTGGGGTGCAGGGGGTTTCAGAGAGTTTTGATGTCCTCCCTCCCCATTTATAATCCTTTCCTTTCCTTTCCTTTCCTTTCCTTTCCTTTCCTTTCCTTTCCTTTCCTTTCCTTTTCCTTTCCTTTCCTTTCCTTTCCTTTCCTTTCCTTTCCTTTCCTTCTTCCCTGCCCGTCCCTTCCTTCTCCTCTTCCTTTCCTTTCCAGGGAAGAAGAAGTCCTATTCTCCATTTGTACTTATTTGGTTCAGCCCCCCCCCTTCTCCTCCCTGCCTTTCCCCATTCATGAAGTTGTGCCAACTTACGAATCGGGAGGAGTTATCATTCTTCACAGTTTTGGCGTTCCCAAAAGCTTCCAGGATGGGATTGGCCTGGAGAAGTTGCTTTTCCAACTCGCCCTAAAATTGATCCAAGGATTTTGCTGTCAGTCCATGGCCGGGCAGAGGAGGGGGTGAATCAAAAAGGGAGGGGGTGCAATTCGAGTTGCCCTCAGAGAAACTCTCTCTGTGTGGATCAAAGAGGCGCATTGTTCTCCAGCTGCACTTGCCGCAGGGAGCATTTTACCTACACAGGTTCCCTGTGGCTGATTTTGGCCTCTGGTTCCGCCTTTGTAGGACTTGGTCATTTTTTTTGTTTTTTTTGTTTTGTAAAACTAGTCAACACGGCCGATTGCTGCATTCTGGATCGTCTTCAACCACGGAGGCAATCGGTCATAACCCGTATCTTTTTTTCAGCATATTTATTAGGCCAAAGCAAATCAGAGAAATTTTTTTGCAATTGCCGCCAAAGCGTTCATTTGGCAAGGAAACGACAACAGAAATTAGGCAAGGGGGCCGAAGGAATGGTTGCACACAACCTTCCTTCTAATGCAGCCCAAAGCAGATTACACGGCATCTATTAATTCGGTTAAATACTGGCTATGAAAATGCATGGTTTATATTTAAAAATAAGGCGGCTTTTGCATGCGGAAAAAGGAACACCCAGGCAGGTACACACCAATGAAGTCACACCTCCAAGCCATGCTAAAGAGCGGCCTCTTTCCTTACCCTCTCATCACAGTTGAAGCTGGGAGGAGGAGGAGGAGGAGGGGGCTGCCCCACCCCTGTCTCAAAGCAAAGACAGAGGCTGATGGATTTTGATGAAGACATCGAGGGTCATGAAAAACCTTCTGATCAGCTGTAGAAGATGCTGTTGGCTTCTACACCCATTTGTCTATGGCAAAGAAGCAGGTATCTAAGGATAGCCAGGATCTTTGCTCTCCAAAGGTCTCTGCTCCACAATGGGGGAGGGGGGCAGAAGCCTCCATTTTATATGAAAGGCTCTTCCTTCCTGATACCCCAGGCTCTAGAAAGGAAAACGTTCCTGAAATTGGGCAGGGCTTTCTTGGCTACTCTTTGAAAGAAGGCAGAATTGGCAGGGATGGTTCTTCGGCTGGGCACGTCTTCCCACTTGGCTCCGCTCCCCATTCCAGCTTCTCCTCACACGTAGCCCCCTCCGTAGCCCCACAATTGTCAGAGGCTCCAACCTCTCCCTAGCAGAAAGGCGGCAGGCTCAGCCAGTTGCACTGCATGCAGAAAACCCAGGAACGACCCCTCCCCCCCCCAAGGGCAGGATGGCAGGCAAGGGAGGGGGAAGAGGCACATGGCAAGCCAAGAAGAACGGATCAGTCACTCTACTGGCACACGGTGGTGATCATCTGGGAAGTAAGACCGGCTTCCATAAGCCCCCCAACCCACGCACCCCCTCTGAGGCTGCCCTCCCCCACCCCCCACCCGCCCTCAAGGCCGGTCCAAAAAGGAAGCATTCCGTTGTGCAAATCAGAGGATGCTCTTCCGCAAAGAGCCCTGGTGCTGGAGGGACCACGATCCTGTTTGCCTGGGAGCAGCTGGAGGAAGGACTGGCTTGCTCCCAAGAAACAGCATGCGTGGGTGAGATCCAGGTGGGCAACCAGATGGGTTAGCCATGGGGTGCTCTGGGCGGGGCATCTCCAGGCCCCCGAGACCCTCGTTGGGGAGCGAGTGCAACAACACCATGCAGATCTACAGGCTGTGCCTTGACACACACACTGAATCAGGTTACTCACGTAAGCAAAACTCGGCCCTTGCTGCAGTCAAACAACACGGCATAAAAGAAACGTCAGTCTCGGCCTCCCGGACGGCGTCTTTTTACAAAGCATTTCTGCCACTATTCACCTTAGGCACCTCTGCCTCCAGCTGTGCAAGGTGTCTCCGCAAGGAACATTGCGATTAGAGGACCCACGGGGGGGGAGATAGATCTTACCCACCCTGGGGGGGGTCTCTTTCACCTCTGGAGTCCGTGCTCCCTCCCAAAATGTGCCCTCTCAGCGTGGCAATGGACACCTCAATGCCTGTCTTTGATTAAGCAGGCACCCTCCGACATGCCTTGCCCCACTGGCAGCCTCCAGAAGTCATGGACTACAACTCCCATCACTCCTGCTGGTGGATGGGCCAGTTTGGTCTCAGTTGAGTCCAAATCACCCAGAGGATGTCAGGTTGGGGAAGCCAGTGGTGTTATCTACAAGTCAGAAAAAAAGTTCTTTCCTCCCAAGTTGTCTCCTCCTTCCTGCTGCTGCTGAAGGTTGGTCTGAGAGGACGCCGCCTCGTCATCACCCCAGAGAAAGAAGCCCCCCCTCGCCCACTGCTGCCCACTAGACTGAACGGGGGTGGTGTGGTGTTAGGGGCTGCTCACCGTGATGCTGGTGTCTTTTTTACCCTTATGCGAGGAGGCGACCACGGCCAAATACTGAATCACTTTCTTGGTGTTTTCTGTCTTGCCAGCGCCCGATTCTCCCCTGGGGGAAGGAGGAGGAAAAAGACTGTCAGCCCCCCCTGCCCTTCATGAAGTAGTGGGGGCTCCTGCAGAGCCAATGCCCGGAAGGGAGGGAAGGAGGGAAGGGCAAGGGAGCTTCAGGGGCTTTTAGGCTGCAGCTGAAGGCTGTTCCTTTCATTAAGCTCTTCCAGCACTTAGGAATCTCCGTGTAAGCGTCTGATTTTCTGCCAACCTCTGGCACTGCAGACTCTGTGGCCTTGCATCACACGCTCCCTGCTGGCACACTCAGGTGCCCCCTACATGCGTTCTCTCCTCGCCTCTTTGGGGAGCTTTGCCCAGCCCTCCCTGGAGGAGCTGGTGGGCATTTTTGGGTGATATTTCCCTCCATCCCTGGAGGGGCTGGTGGGCATTTTGGGTGATATTTCCTCCTTACCTGCCCGGTAAGGAGGAAATATCTCCCAAGGAAGGGAAGACTCCCTGCATGAAGCTGCCACCCCAGACGCCCCTTCCCAGCCCCTCCTTATCCTCTGGGTGGACTAGAATGGTGGCAGAAGGAGTGAAGCTGGAGAGCTCTGCCCTGGTGTGGCTGCCCACGTGTGTCAGAATGCCTGGCACTCTGGGCAGTAACGGAGAGGCTGTCAGAGAGGCTCACATCTCTCCTTCTCTTCCTTCCGTGGCATCGTTCCAGAGCCATCCTGGATCTGGAGTGCATCAGTCTTAGGAGATGCTTTGTGATCTTTTTGGTGGCAACTTATGACTTGGCAACGAAAACATCCAACCAAGGAAGCCCAAGTGGCTGAGATCAAGGAAGGGGCTGGCTTGATCCAGGAGGGCCAGAGGAGCTCCTGGATGGAGGGATCCAGCCCCCTGCTAAGGGGGGGAGGGAGGGACCGCCAGGAGAGGCTTGGCTGTGGAGCTTGAGCCTCCCTCCCACGCCCGGCCGCCTTGCCGATTCTTCTTCCTAATTTGGAGGCGCCTTTTCTCCCCCATGATGGATGGGGGTGAAACAGGACAGGCCTGGGAGGAGGCGAGCCTTAAAAGGCCAGGCAGCTGCTTCCTGCGGGACTCCTTGTTCTTCAAGATGACTGCCTCCGATCACCCTGGGGTGGCCGAAGATGCGCAGGCCGTGGAGGAGGAGATTTTGAGGAGCTTTGCTCTGCTCAAGGTTACCGAGTGTTGCAGATCAGCCAGTGGGTGGGGAGGGGACTCTACCACCCCTGCCCCTTGTCCCCCAGGCCAGCTGTCTTGGCGCATCCTGAGCTTTGCAGGAAGGTTACAGGACCCTCCTGGCCAGAGGGAGTCCATCTCTTTTGCCACTCGGCACTCTGGTCCTGAGGCTGGGTTGATGAGCTCTCGGTCTCTGCCGGCCAGTCTTTCTCGGCCCCTTCGAAGGATGGGGTGAGCTTCCCTTCCCTGCCAAGGCCGGAGGGCAGACTCTTCTCCTGGGCTCTGGGTGGAGCTGAACCGATGCCTGCGGAGGCCCCTCTGGCTGCAGGAGGCCGATGCCCAGAAGCCCCAAAGACGACCATGTATTGATGAAAATTAAGTGTTCTGGGAAGAATCCCAGAACAAACAGGCCAGTGGGAGGCCACTGATGGAGAAAGCTTTTCCCCAAATTCCCCCCCACACGCACTGTTGGGAGAAGAAGAGCCGGCCTTTGGGCTTTCATACCTCCCACTGCTTTCTCTCCGTCCCTCCTCCTGCTGCATTTCTTTTCCCCAAAGGCAGGAACAAGCCACCATCTTTCCAAGCAAGCCTCTCCTGGATGTGCTGGACTACAACCCCCATCACTCCCTGTCACTCCAGTCTCCTGGGGGCTTCCTTCATCAACACTACCTGGGCAGGGTCTCCGCCCCTTTCCGGCTGTTAGCTTAGCCCACCACAGCACAGATGTTCCCCAAGCCAAGGGCTGCTTCGCCTAAGGCCTTTCACTCTAGGGGAAGGGAGGGGTGGGGAGAGCAGGCTGGGGCTGGGCCGGGCCGGGCGAGAGATGGTCGCCTTGGCCTGGTGGCATTGCCATGAGGAAGCCACCTGGAAAGTGCCCAGATGTTCTCCACAGCAGGAGGGCTGCTACGATGGGATCTAAAGCAGATCTAAAGCTATCTTGGAGTGCCCCCCCCGCTCCGCACACCCTCCATCCCCCCTGCCAGCTGGGCACTCTCCAACTCATCAGCAGGATGCCCAGGATGTGCTTAGTAGTCCTTAAAAGGCCACCAAAAATAGAGCTGCGAGGGAGCTTGAACTGAGAAGGGAGTGCGCCAACTCTTCTGGCTCTACTTACGTGCAAAGGATGGATTGATCCTCTCGATCTGTAGACAGAAAAGAAAGCCGTGAGATCCTGGCCCCCAGAGCCCTTTTGGGGAGAGGTCCAGAGACTTCTGAAGCTGGGCTACCAAGTAGAGTCATCCTGGTCTTCTGCCACCAGGTACCTGCTCCTTTTTGAAACTGGGAGAGCTGGGGATGAACTGGGAGGACTCTTCCCATCTGGCACAGACAGACCAGGCCGGTGCCCCTTGCCCCTTGTGACCCATCAGCACTGCATTTATTTTTATCCCATTTTCCCGATGGGGAGGCCGATCTCCTGCTTTTGTGTCCACAGGGAAAGAATTGAGGAAATGGGATTAGAGACACAAACAGTTCTATTTATGGATGAGATCCAAAGCAAGAGTCCCAAGCTGTCCTTTTTGGGCCACTGAGGTGGATTTCAGGCAGAGCTTCAGGGTCTCCAAAATCCGCAGGGGAAAAGCCAGAGACCTCCCCCACCCAAGCCAGAGTAAAGGTGGAATCGGAGGCAGCTGGCAAAGGCTTTGAGGGAAGTGGCAGAGCAGGGCAGCCCCTCAGACCAGGAAGGTGCCGGGGGTAGGTGGGGAGGGGAGTGTCTACCTACATCCTAGCCTCAGCTGCCTCCCTGGAGTGCCAATGCACCAGAGGGGAGACGGATGGCAGCCCAACGCCAGAAAGGCCCGGACCTCCAACTGACCCACCACCAGGAAAGAAGCACACAGCTGGTGCAGGCGAGGGAGGCACTTTGGCAATTCCAGTTTTTTACATGCAATCCTTAGAGGAATTTGCATTTTTGCTGCACCAATCTTCCCCAAATCCATCCCAATGGGAAGCCACAGAAAGGACTGAGAGCCCCATTTTTAATTTCCAAGGTTGTCAATCAAAGCATTTTAGCACATTGCTTACATCCCTGGTTCAGTGACTATAAGAAACGTATTTTTAGTTTTATTTGTGGACATTTCGTTTCACATCGCTGAAGGTCATGTAGGCGGGAAGCAATTGGTGTTTGAGGATTCCTACTTTAGCCCTCCCTCCCTCCTGGACCCCCTGCAATAAGAGGCTGAACACTGTGCCTGTGGAACTGAGATCCCCACCAGCACTTCTTCCCCTGGGAGAACGGGGCCCCTCCCTGACAGCGTCTGCCTGCTCCCATCCCAGAGAGCGGCTGGTTCCGCTTCAGCACTGCTGGAGTTGTGGGCTTCCTGCAAAGAGCAGCTTGGCCATAAAAGGAGAAAGAAGAGTGAGAAGCCGGGAAGGAGCCTCAGAAGCTGGTAGCAGCTTCCTTGGCTCGGGTGCCAGGCTGGCGGCCCCAAGGTCTCCCATGTCCCCAGGTGTGTCCAGAGGGGAGTCGAGGAAGAGAGGGTGACGAGGGGAGGGAGCTGCACCTGAGGAAGAGCTCTGCAGAAAGGCTGCAGAGGCTCCTGGATCTTCCCTACGGCTTAATCAGCTTCCTCAAGGGCTGGCATAAACCACCAGCTGTCCATACCGCATTCTTCTTCCTTGCTCTCTCTCCATGTTATTTCCGAAGATAAACATTTAATCAATGCAATTGATTTATAGCAGCAGCTGGAAGCCCATAAGTGAAGTTGGAGAACCCACAAATGCGGCTGGAACCAAACAGTATTATGGGCTAGTAAATCAGCAGCACTTTCTGGACACGCTTGAGTGAAGCAACCATTCGCTTGTAAACTCTCTTAAGCTATATGTTTGTTCCTCTGTCCTTTTGGCAACAAGGCAGGGACTTCTGACCGAAGAACCTTTGGCTCTGATGGTGGTGCTGTAAGCAGACCAAGATTAACCTGCAGCAGATTCTTACAAGCACCGGCAGGGCAGCGGTGCTTGGTAGGAACCCTCCAGGTGTCTCCTTTGCTCCTTTCCCTGCAGCCCCAGAGCCCCCAAGAGCAGAGGCTTCTTCACTTGCTCCCCCTCTAAGGGGAGGTCTGGCAGCAACAGCCCTCTGGCTGCTACCCAAACAGGCCAGACTTTGGGCGAAACCATTGACGGAGACCCTTCGGACATTAGACTCAGAAGAAGGAGCAAGTAATTCAGAGCACCTGGACCTTCCATCACAAAACTCAGAGTCTCAACAAACACCACCTTGGTTCTTGTACACATTAGAAATCCTCGGTGATATCTATAAGACCCCCGTAGCTTCTCCCACAGAAGCTTCCCCTGCAGACCTGGGCCCTGCCAGCCTCAACTCAATGGATTTAAATCCTAGATTACGATGCCCGACAGGGAGCTGCATGGGGTGGAAGGAGTGGCAGGAAAGGCAAACCACAGGTGCCAGCTATCGCTTCTGCCCAGGGACAGGGGCCCTCCGGCTCCGGGCTCAGAATGGCTCACCAACTGAGAGAACAGAAACCACAAGCCACTGTGGGATGGCTGCATCCTCTCTGCACCACAAAGCTGCGCATGAGTCCAACTCCTGTCCAGCCAACCAGAAGCCTTTTTGCAAAGGGGGGGGCGTGATTTAGGGGTCCACTGCCAGGCACCCGGATGCCCAAGCCCAACCATTGGCACAAGCGTGCCCCTCGGGCCGGCAGCGGACTCTCTGACTTGGGCAACGGTTCTAGGAGAAGAAATTCCATCTCCCTGGCGAAGGATGGCGTGGCAGATTCCTGGCTGCCAACTGTCGCAGTGGCAGCTTCTTCCTTCCTGCCTGCCCTTCCTTCTCCATGCCCCTATTTGCCAAACTATGCTCTGGGATTCTCTCTGGCCACGTGCCCCGGCACGGGTGGGTGGAAGGAGAGCTTTTCCTTTTTGAGGCACAAGCTGGTGGAAGATGGCAAACACCGATGCCAAAGGACCGGGAGGAATGCTCTGGCACTCCTGCTCCATGATGGAGGAGCCAACCAGCCGGACGGAGCCCCCAGGTGGCAGAAACAGCCGTCTGGTGCCCATCGGAAGGGCATGCCACCTTACCCTGCAACATGCTCCGGTAGGCGGTGTCAGCAATGGCGTAGATGTGAGGCGGCATCTCGTGGCGCTTCTTCCCCTTGTACATGTCCACGATCTTCTCCGAGTAGATGGGCAGCTGCTTGTAAGGGTTGACCACCACGCAGAAAAGCCCTGAGTAGGTCTGCAAGGGAAGACCCCCGAGCAGTCAGCCTCCTCACCTGGGACCACCACATCTCTGAAACTTTGGGAGAAGGCCAGTTCTTTGCAGGGACCATGGCAGTCGGGGGTGGGGGGGAAGAGGGCAGGAAGCAGACAGGTCAAGGGGAGCTCTCCTTCCCAGGGTCTGGCATCCAGGGATGGACTGCTTCTGAACAGGGAGGCTCCATCACAGCCATGATAGCTGTAGCTAGAAACCCCTCCCCATCCTGCTCAGGTTTTGGGCACTTTCTCTGCAGCCCCCTCACCTTGGAACCCTCCTAATCACTGACCTCATAGGAGAAGGAGGAGGATGCCTTGGATTTAAAGTCACTTCTGTATGGGAAGGGAAATTGGGGGGATTCTGGGTCAGCCCAGGATGCCTGTAAATGCCCAGCACTTTGCACAATAACACCACATTTTGAAGGGTGGGGTCGGTCCTCCTCTTCCCTGATGCCCCTGCTCAAGATTTGGGACCAAGGCAACCGATGCAACATCCATAAGGATGTTTTCTGCTGCCTGTTCCTCACTGCCCCTCCCCCCCATCTGTTATTAAAGCTTCCAAGTCCGTAATTGCAGAGATGCACCCAGGCTGCCCTTCAGATCCAGCCAGGCTTCACGGCAAAATCTGCAGCCTGGGATTTCCTCTTCTTGACCATATTAGGAAATGTCCCAAAGACTTCACACCAAGCAGTGCCCAGTATGGCTCTCGGCCGACCAGAGAAGTCAGGGCCCCGGCTGCTCTGGCAATGCACCTCTTGCGGGGGCTGAGCCAGGGCTTTCCAGGATGGGAATGCCGGCTGGATGATGGGGGGCTTGCTGGGCATCTGGGGGAACTATGAGAAGCTTTCCAGCCAGAGGCACCCTGAGAGAGACCGGAAAGAGAGCCTCCATATTCGAGGCCGCGGTGAAGGGGGCAACTTTCTCCTCTGTGTTTCTCTCAGCATCTCTTTGCCTCTGCCAATGGCCACCCCCGGACTGAGTCTCTCCCTCATGGCTGCCTTCAGAAACTCTGCCAGGGGACTCCCGTCAGCCTCACCCATCCTCATTATGACTGGGAAGAAAGACTTTTCCTCGTATGGCCTGCCAAAGGCCCATAAACGTGGGGAAGGAGCTTTAGGATGTCTCACTTGTGGATCTGTGTTTGTGGCTCACAGATTTACAGGGGCATAAACTTTTCCCTCCATCACAGCCCCCTTCCGGCCTGGAGTGCCTCTCTTCTCCTCAGCTTTCAGCCACAAACCCTCCACCCCCTCAAAAGGAAAATGGCACTTTCTGTGCCCCCCTCCCCCAACATGAAGATTAGTCTGGGCGTGGAAATATGTGCAAGTAAATTGTTAAAGAAGAGACGGCTCAGTCGTGTCCCTCTCGTCTCCCCTCTCGGTGCAAATTCAGGTTGGAAAAGGGATGACCACCAGGGTGGACCATCTCATCTGGCTGGCAGGGGGGGACTGCAGAAGAAGCTGCTTCTCTTTCCCAGAAAGTGGACTCTCTAAAAGAAAAGCCCTCAAAAAGGACACAAAAGGGAGCCGTGAGTTCCCAGGAAACCCCTAGGAAAAAGAGGCTGATCCATCCTGCCAAGTGGCTTCCTGCAGAATTTTGTAGAACTAGATCTTCCAAGCTGATCCTGACAAGCAGTCAGATGGAAAGAGCAGCAGGCGTGTGCGTGTGTGTGTGTGTGTGTGTGTGTGTGTGTGTGTGTGTTGTTTTGCTTGGCTTTCTAGTCTTCATCCCTCTTTAACCACCCATCTTCCTTTTCCTTTCCTTACTTGTGCATTATAGCAACCAAAATAAACAAAACCTCTCTCAAGCCAAAGCCCTCCGTCCCTCCCCCCCCACTTCCCCAGCCCAGCTGCCGTGCGTTTCCCCTCCCTTTGCTGATGGAGGACAGCCATCGGCCACCTGGAGGACATAGGGCTGGGGAAGGCTGGGCTGGCAATCGGCAGCTAGCAGCCCAGGGCCAACGCCCTGCCTTCTTGGGCCAAGAGACTTACGTAAATGAGGCCTGAGAAGTATCTCTCCCGGAGGTTGTGCAGGACGGAGGCTTCGTTGAGGCAGGTGAGCTCGGCCATGTCCTCCACCTTGGAGAACTTGGGCGGGTTCATCTTCTGGATGTCATCCTTGCTGAAGGTCACTTTCTTCCCGTTCTCGGCCAGCTCGGCCAGCACCTCGTCCCCCTTCTCCTCCTTGATGCTCGCGGCTTCAAAGCCATGCTTCTCCGAAGGGACCCAGACCAGTTTCTTGGCTGACCAGTCGGCCTGGGCCACTGTGGTGTTGATGATGTTCTTATCCACAAAGAGGAATTTCTCATCGTCGCTGAGTTGGCTCTTCTGTGCCATTTTGGCTCAAAGGGCACCTGGGCGAGAGAACACAGGTTAACTGAATGCCGCTCTGTTACCCTTGAAGCCCTGAATTGGCACAATATCTCCCTCTGGATGTGACAAAGGCTGGGAACTCACTCGGGGCCCTTTGGAACCATGCCGGCAGAATAAGATACAGTACATCAACACAATGCTGGTACCAAGCAGGGCCACGTATGGCTCTGATCTAAAGATATTACCTCCGCAGGGATGCAGGACTCACCCGTGGCCACATTTTAAGCAAAGCCTGGGATAAAAAAAGGGGGGGCATTTGGCAGAGAGATCAGGATGATGCTTTGATGAACAGGATGGTTGCAAGAATTGCTGCTGGTTGGAAGAGACAACCCTCCCCCCCCCAACTTGGCTAGGGGAGGGGGGCCTTCCAAGCAGACCCATCACTTAGAAAAGCATCACTATATTTGGGGTTTTGTTTTAATTCTTACATCAAGCTATATTAAAGTGCATACTTTTTGCAGTGAAAAATAACTTCAAGACAACCTTTAGCAATGACGTCCAGCTCCTTAATATTGTTTTATGCATCAAATAATGATCAAAATCTCTTCTTTTCAAGAGAAAATTAATTAATTCTTGGCAAAGCAGAGAGAAAACAGGCCTCCTTCTGCCAACTCCCAGCATCAGGAATCAAAGATCTGCTGCCTTGGAAGTCCCACTGTCAGCTTCTCAGCCAAGCAGGCCTGTGAACAGCTCCCTGGCATGTTTGCTGGTGGCAACTCAAACTTTTCTCCAGAAAAACAGCCTGGGAATTTTTTGCAGATTTCGTGGAGGGTCTCTTTCCCCTGTGTTACCAATGGATTAGGACTGGAAACTTTTATCACTTGTTTGGCAAGACTGGCTGGCCTTTGGTCAAGATATTTTAAGACATAATCACAGGCCAGCTGAGTCCACGGAGAAAGCCCTGCTCAGCCACCGATGGCCAGTAGAACTGGAAATGTGGGCTTCTTGGGTTGGTCCAGTCTTGGCAGGTCTCAGGCCTCGTCTCCACTCGTCGCTTCCTCTTTTGCTCAGTTGGTTAAGTATTTGCCTCACTAAGGTTGTTTTGATGGCATCTCTTTGGGCTACGTTGTTCTTTATTGCTGTGCTTGGAATTCACATTTCTTAGCTGCCGTGGAGGTCTTCCACTGCAGAGTGGAAGGCAGGATCTAAACATTTGCAGGCAATATAAATATTGTCAGCTGCATCTGCCGACAGGCTGCTAAGTTCAGAAGACAGGAATTCATCACCCACGATGAAGACGGAGAAGTTTGGGGCTTTCTGCTGCATTTCCTAATCCTTGCCCTTTTCAGCCAGAGTGCAGATTTTTGAAAAGTCCCCAGAATCTTTAAGGGGCAGAAAGAAACATTCCAAGCACCTTTTGATTCACCCCCTTCCCCCTGCTCATGTGTTTCTTTTGAAACCCTTGGCCTCCTCTTCATTTGCGGAATAAAGGGGCATTTTGGGGAGAAGCCAGAAGGCTCCCTTGACCTCGTGGGGGGCTCCAAAGGGATCCAGGCCCCCAAAGGCAGAGAGGCCATTTGCAAAGCTCTCTGCTTGCACAAATGCGGGCAGGCTACCATATATGGCCACGTTCTTCTCCTTATGAGCAGATCCAGCCAAAAAAAAAAAAGAAGAAGAAGGGAGACAGAAAAAAAATACCCTAATGATAACAAGTTCAAAACAAATACCTTTTAGGGCATAACAGAATCCTTTCCAAAGACAATAATTGAAAGAAGTTGCCATTTAGATCCAACGGCTCTGCTAGGAAGGCCAGATCCCCCACAATCCCTGCAGAGGAGAGAGGCCAGCAGGAGCTGTCCGCACCGGCCACCTCCGGGCTGAAGGCTGCCTGCGGCTTCCAGGGTGGGAATTTAGCAGCCCTGCAAGTGAGACCCTCCTACCAAACCTGCCTTGGGGGGCAGCCCCCGCCCGGCTCCTTCACCTGCACGGAAGGCTCTCTTTGTTTCAGGAGAAAAGGATACAGTCAAGGATGAGCTGTCAAAACAAATGATTTAGGGAACTTCTAAATACGGAACGTGCAAAGAGGAAGGCTTTGGTTCAAAAGCCGGCACGGCTGCTGCTGGTTCTCAACGCTGAGCTCAGCTGACATCCAGGTTTGCTGGTAAGGAGACCCTTACTCTGAGCGGTTTACAACAGGCGCTGACCCCCTGGCTGAAAAAGGGAGCTTCTGTTGCCCTCTGCTGCTTTCCCCCTTTACTCACAGCAGCTGGGTCTCCTCTTAAGGCATCCTTGGCTTTCTCAGGGAAATGCAAGACCAAGCCCAGTAACTAAGTTATTGAGGCTCCACCGAGCTTCTTTTTAAAATCAGGATGTTGCCACAAGTGGCCCAATGCTCCTCAGCCCTGAGAGGCTGAGCAGCCAGCCCAGCTCATCTGCCCCAGGGTGGACACTGAAGTTGTGGGGGACATAGTGACTGCAGGGAGACTCGGGCCAGAAAAAGCATTTTAATTGCCAGCAAGTAATCACATTCAGGAATTCATGAAGGCAATTTGAAAAGATGTCTTAATTGAGTCTGTTATAGTATATACCAACAATAAAACATGTTTGAAAGAAATGATCTTGGATCATTTCATCAATGGATTGTTCCTATTTGGGATTGTCTTCAGTGCAAATTTATTCTGGTGCTGAATGCAGTCTCGGATTCTTAAGTTCTGTGCAGGTGGAGTTATTAGCTCTGCTTTGCATTTTGATTTTATTTCTACACTTCCTGGCAGTAAGATCTGGACTGCAGCTGAGTAGTCCACCTATGGGGGGGGGGGTCTCCATCTCTGGAGTTACCAAGAAGAGGATGTGCAACCCACTTTCCCAGGACAGTGGAACTGGTACTCCCGCAGTAGGTTGGACTAGGTGATCCTTGGGGTCCCCTCCACCTCAATGGCCCTCTCCCTGTGCCTCTGCCTCCTGGGTGCTCAGACAGCAATCCTGGCAAGGCAATTCCAAGCCCTCCGTCCTGGCCTGAGGTTACTCAGGCAGTGCTTAAAAGCAGGAGGAGGACAACCTGGGTCTAGCCACGCTGCCACCAGCTTGTCTGTGCCCCGGGGGGGGGGCATCTACTTCACTGCCTTCCCCAGGAGGCGCAGTTAGCCTGAAGGGGGGCAGCTCTTGTCCAGGGACGGTGCAGGATGGTCCTTGGCCGACCAGGGTACTTACAGAAGTCCAGAAAGAAAGCCGAAGATGCAGGCGTGTCCGGACGGGTGCTTGCTAGCAGCTGGGCAGACCGAGCCTGATGCGCTCGGTCCCCTCTATATAGAGGTGGCGGGCTCAGGGGAGGGGCCACAGAATTCCTCCCCCCAACAGTCTCCAGGGCTCAGATACGAAGACTTGTGCCAGGGGGGTGAGGAGAGAGAGAGAGGGTGCTCCAGCGATGAGTTTGCAGCCAGAGTTCACCCCCAGCTAAGAGGCATTCGCTCCCTCTCCTTTTCTCCCCTAATAACTCGTGTCGTGGCATTATGGGATGGCTCAGAAATTATCTGACTTCCCATTGCAACACTATTTCCCAGAATGGAGCTTTCTTTCATCTGGTCTAGAGATATAAGCAGCCGCTTAACCGCTCCTGCTTTCTCATGAGCTCCCAGGGCCAGCAAAGGGGAGATGTGGGGCGGGGCAGATAAGAGGCAGCTCCCCCATTTCTCCCTGGCCATCAGCAGGCTCTTATCTGGCCCTGGCTTTGATGCAGAGCTCAAGCCGGAGGCGCCTCTCAGTGGGGGCGGCCGTTCCCAAGGAGGAAGGAGCTGTGTGTTGTCCCTGGCCTGTTTATGTAACATTTGGGGACCTTGGGCTGTTTTGGGCTGGCCCATCTCTGGGGAATGGAAGGGCTCGCTTTTTCCCAGCTCGTGCCCGGCTGTTTCTGCAGAAACCTTGCCTGGAGCTCCCTTCCTGAGAACCTCTGCAAATCTCCCCAATGCCTCCCTGTCCTTAAATGGCAAAAAGCAGCTGTTAAAAGCCCAGGGCACTGGGAAGAAGGGGAGGAGTGGGTCCCCTCGGCCCAGCAGGGAAGGAGGCAAGAGGTCCTGCAGGAGGAGGTTGAGCCCCCTAATACCTCGGATGCTTTCCTTCCTCCCTCCCTCCCTCCCTCCCTGTGCGGCTCCAGCCCCACACGCTGGCTGGCCCAGGGTCCTCAGACATCCCAAATAGGAAACACCAGGATCCTCCAGCAATTCCCGTCCACATTCCAGATGCAAACATGTCTTTGCAGATGTGCAGAACAGCAGCAGCCTAAATATGGAGCCCAAGGCAGGCAGGGAGGTCCAAGCTGGTGGCCCCTCACAGGTCCACCTTCCCAAGCAGGAAAGGAGGGGGAGCCTGGCTGACCCACTTGCTGCCCTGGGGTCAGAAGTCCCCTTGCCTGCCAAGCCTGGCCTGATGCTCTCCAGTTGTGCAACTCTACTGCCCCCCACAAGCCTTGAGCTCTGCCAGGGGAGCAGGCACTCAGCTATTTGTCCAGTGGGCTCCCTGCCCACCCTTTGCCAAGAAAGGGGGCACAGAACTCATAGGGATTATCCTAGAGGTGTCCAGATGCCCCTTTCTTAGGCCTTTTGGAGCTGCAGCCCCACTGTGGGTGAACCTGGTTTCCCTTTACTTGTGCTCCACAAGCCAAGCCAGATGTTGTCAGGCAGCAGGCCCCACCCGGACCCTGGCCCCGCTGGGCAGAGTTCAGGCCCTATGGTATCTGGCAATTCAAGCTTGGCAGTGATGGATGAGCAACTTCTCTTTATCAGGCAAACTCCGAGTTGATGCACATAGGTGGATGGACAGCAGCCACTGCCTCACGCGGGTGCCTTTGAGCATCTGTGGGCTAACTTCACACGCCTTCCGGAAGATGGGCAGCTGGAAGAGCTGTGAAACTGTTTTATAAATATCTGCACCTCTCAATGGCAACAGCTTAAAAAGGAGTGGAAACCCTTTCCTGGCCTTTACCCGACTGGCTGACAAGCAAGAATCCCAAGCAAGGGATGATTTATGGCAGGAGGGGACTGAGCTGGAACGGGGAAGGAACAGCGGCTTCATCAGGACACGTTGCAGAAGTTAAGCGGGATGCTTGGTGGACAGAAACCACCAGGAACTGCAGTGGGGCTTCCTCCTCATTTTGAAAGGAAACATACTAAGGAAACCAACATGCATCACAGGAGCTGACCAGACTCTGATTATGTCAGAAATAAGCTGGAAATGTGAAGCTATCAAAGGAGAGCAACTCTCCACCAGCCAGATCACAAGGCCAAGCCGCCCTGTCCTATCCTGTGGGAGGGAGGGAGGGGAACAGCCCTCAACAGGCAGTGACCACTACCTCATGGCCAGAAAGGAAAAGCCAGTTGCTAGTAGGGAGTGGCTGCCCAGGCTCCGTTCACCATCCCAGGATAGCTGCAGAGTTGAAGCGAGTCCCTCTGGGGATCCCCTTTCAAGAGACCCGCCTCTATTCATGCTCCTTGCATTGTGAGTGTGCCAGATCCGTTAGTTGAGTTTCAACAGATGAATGCCTGGGAAATCAGTCTGGCCTTGACGTGTCACACACTTCTCAAAAGATGCCAAGGCCAACTGAGGGGTTTTCCCCTCCCTTACGAAGCCGATTTATGCCTTCCTGTAAAAAGGGGAACAGCCTGTCTGAAGGTTTAGTGTCCTGAAGGTTTGATTATTTTACTGTGCTGTTAAACGACCAGATGACTTAAGTGCCATCAAGTCACATTCAACTTTTACCTATTACATAGATCTTCTGTGGGGTGAACTGAAAGAAACATTGAATGTATTGATTGTGGCCCTTCTTAATCAACTGTTTTTATCGACCAAAGAGATGATTACCACAATAACAAATGTAAACAGCTGCTACTCATAAAAAATGTGGTTACTTTATTCATGGATGCCTTGTGAACCCCATGTATCTTCAAAAGCCTCACCCCATATTTCGAGTCTGCAACAGTTTCTGAAAGTTAAGATAAAGCCATTAACGCATTAGTGTCCAAACACAGACTGCAATGTGGTGACTCAAAGACAGACAAGCATTGTTTAAAAGAGCTCTTCGCCCAGGTCTTTGGTGAGGAAGACCCCTGGCTCCATCGTTCATTGATTTCCCTGTAACTGGTGAGCTGCCCAAAGTCACTGAGAGTCAGGCAGTATATATGTTTAATAAAGTATTATTAATATATACACACGTCTGCTGGTTTGTGTGTGCTGAACCCATTTAACTGCTTCAATTAGATGGCTTGCCGGTAGTCCACTTTGAAGGTGCCCCCGAGGGGGCTCTGGGGGGGCCCTTATCTTCATTGCCTTGTAACAGCTGAGTTAGAATTCCATACAAAAGTGGCCTGTTAAGACAAAGAAAAGAATCCCAATACTTAAAGAGGAGACTCTGCGAAAGGGTTGCAGGTGCCCCCTTCAGTGGGGTCTGCAGAGAGCCACCCCCCCCCAAGAGAAATAAAGGCACAAAGGTAGAGTCACTCAGCAATCAAGCTCTCCAAATCCAGCAGGGCTCATTGCACAAGGACTTTGGGATGGATTTATCAGCCTCCAAATGCAACACTGGACAGCCACTCACATGAAACTTCAGAAATACCAATGTCCAGCTGGAAAAGGGGTTGCTTTTAGAGCCAAGAGTGCAAAAATGACCACTGCCGCTTACAAATGATTTGGGATTTGGACTGGGAGGCAACCAATGTCTGACCAAGGGAGAAAAACCTCGGGAGAGCCGGTCGCCTTCTTACACGGATCTGCTGCTGGGGTCTTCAACGACATGCAGCTCCTTGGCGAGGAAATCTCGGTCCAAGGGGATTTCGGGCTGGCCGGACTCTGCAACAGACGGGGGGGGAGCGGGCTCAGGTCCGAGGGCGGCCGGACGGAGATGCGGGGACCGGTCTGGCCGGGGGCTTGTCCGGAGGCCGCCCGGGTTCCCTGGCCTGAGACGGCGGTGTGTGTGTGTGTGTGTGTCCCGCCTGCCCTCCTCCCCCCGGAGCCCTTCTCAGCAAAGGCTCCTCCGCCCCTCCTGGGCAGGGCCGGATGGATGACCTCTCGCACCCCCCCACCTCCTCACCGGCCAGGAAGACGGAGGCGCTGGAGTGGAACCGCTGGAACTGCAGGTACTCGCGGATGAGCTCGTTCAACAGGAGGGTCTCGCGGGGGGCGGCGGGGCGCGGCTCGCCCGGGTCGTCCAGCGCGGCGAAGACCTCAGCCCGGACGCGGGCGCGCACCTGCCCCAGCGCCCCGCTGCGACCCAGCGCCTCCTTCAGGGCTGCGCGGAGACAGAGGCGCGCCGCCGTTCAACAGGGGCTGCCCCGCCGCCGCCCTCCGCCCGCGCCCCCCCCTCCCGGCACCCGCGCCGCGCCCGCCGCCGTTACCCGCTTTCAGCTCGGCGACCGTCGCCATCTTGGGAGGGGGCGGGGCCGGAAGCCCACGAGGGCCGGGAGCCCGCCCTTCGACCCCATTGGCCGGCGCCCGCCCAATCGCAGCGCGGGCTGACTCAGCAGCGACGGGACCGGGGGGGATGCTGAATCAGTGCGGCCGGGCTCGCTCGCCGGCGCCCTCTGGCGGCGGCGCCCGGACTCATCGTGCACACGCGAGGCGACCTCCCCCGCCCCGTGGTGGAGCGCGGCCGAGGGGCTTGGGGGGCGGAGGGGCGGAGGGGGAGGGGCGCTTCGCTGCAGCCGGCGTGGCGGCCTTTCTTCTAAGCCCAGCGGGCCCCTCCCGGCCGCTCCGGCCGCAGGCGAAGCGGCTTCTGCCCCCGCCGCCCTCCCCGTGCAGCTTCCTCCAGGGAAGGGGGCGGCCGGGCCCCCGCGCGCCGCTCTCCCCGCCCGCTGTCCGCGGACGGCCCTGGCCAAGGAAGGCCGGCGAGAGAGGCTCCCCGCGCCCCCCGTCGGTTTGCCGGGCCCCCCTCCGCCCAACCAGCGCCCGCCCCCCGGCGCCGCCGCTCCGCCCCCTTCCTGCCCCGGCCGCCCATCTGCTGCGCTGCCGGCGGTGCGAGGGGCCCGGGAGCTGCGCCTGCCGCCCCCCGACGCCCTGCCTCCTCCCGGCCAGCGGCTCCATGGGCGCCCCCTGGCTCTGCCACGCGCCCTTCTGGGTAAGAGTCCCCGCGCAGGGCCAGCCGACTCCGGCCACGCGGCGGGCGAGGCGCGCTCTCCGCGCCGGGATGCGCCGCCTCGAGGGAGCGAGCGGGCGGGCGGAAAGCGGGCCGGGCCGGCGGGAGTTGCGCTGCGCCGGCGTCTTGGTTGGCTCCGGGCGCGAAGGGCTGCCTCGGTCGGCCTGGGAACCTCCGCCCGCCCGCCCGCCCGGGCTGCCTGCAAAGGGCGCATCCTCCCGCCCGGGCAGCATCTGCCGCCGCCGCCGCCCCCGGTCTGGCAGAGCGCTCGGGCTCCAGAGCTCCGT